GGGGTGCTTTGCTGCAGGAGGGACTGGTGCACTTCACAAAATAGATGGCATCATGAGGAAGGAAAATTATGTGGATATATTGAAGCAACATCTCAAGACATCAGTCAGGAAGTTAAAGCTTGGTCGCAAATGGGTCTTCCAAATGGACAATGACCCCAAGCATACTTCCAAAGTTGTGGCAAAATGGCTTAAGGACAACAAAGTCAAGGTATTGGAGTGGCCATCACAAAGCCCTGACCTCAATCCTATAGACAATTTGTGGGCAAAACTGAAAAAGCGTTTGCGAGCAAGGAGGCCTACAAACCTGACTCAGTTACACCAGCTCTGTCAGGAGGAATGGGCCAAAATTCACCCAACTTATTGTGGGAAGCTTGTGGAAGGCTACCTGAAACATTTGACCCAAGTTAAACAATTTAAAGGCAATGCTATCAAATCCTGCAGTGCCAGACGTGTCCCCCTGCTTAAGCCAGTACATGTCCAGGCCCGTCTGAAGTTTGCTAGAGTGCATTTGGATGATCCAGAAGAGGATTGGGAGAATGTCATATGGTCAGATGAAACCAAAATAGAACTTTTTGGTAAAAACTCAACTCGTCGTGTTTGGAGGACAAAGAATGCTGAGTTGCATCCAAAGAACACCATACCTACTGTGAAGCATGGGGGTGGAAACATCATGCTTTGGGGCTGTTTATCTGCAAAGGGACCAGGACGACTGATCCGTGTAAAGGAAAGAATGAATGGGGCCATGTATCGTGAGATTTTGAGTGAAAACCTCCTTCCATCAGCAAGGGCATTGAAGATGAAACGTGGCTGGGTCTTTCAGCATGACAATGATCCCAAACACACCGCCCGGGCAACGAAGGAGTGGCTTCGTAAGAAGCATTTCAAGGTCCTGGAGTGGCCTAGCCAGTCTCCAGATCTCAACCCCATAGAAAATCTTTGGAGTGAGTTGAAAGTCCGTGTTGCCCAGCGACAGCCCCAAAACATCACTGCTCTAGAGGAGATCTGCATGGAGGAATGGGCCAAAATACCAGCAACAGTGTGTGAAAACCTTGTGAAGACTTACAGAAAACGTTTGACCTGTGTCATTGCCAACAAAGGGTATATAACAAAGTATTGAGAAACTTTTGTTATTGACAAAATACTTATTTTCCACCATAATTTGCAAATAAATTCATTAAAAATCCTACAATGTGATTTTCTGGATTTCTTTTTCTCATTTTGTCTGTCATAGTTGACGTGTACCTATGATGAAAATTACAGGCCTCTCTCATCTTTTTAAGTGGGAGAACTTGCAGAATTGGTGGCTGACTAAATACTTTTTTTCCCCACTGTATATTTGCGAGAAAAAAAAAACATATGGGGGATTGGAAGTGATGCAGACAATTACATTGAAGGAAGTTACAATCTATCTGCAATATTAAAGCTGATCTACCCCTAAAAAAAATAATATTATAATAATTTTCCCATGCCAATAAAGCCCATAAATTGAACATTGCATTGAATTGAGAGAGAGAGCGAGACAGGGTGAGAGCGAGAGAGAGACAAGACTCATCCATGACTCTTCCAAAAAAGAGGGTTACGTGTCTAGTACGTCCTACTCTCCAAACCCCTGCCCCCCCCCCCCCTACACACACAAAAAACACCTCCAACCCCTTCCAAGAAAACACAAGAGGCACGTGCCTACCCCCTACCACGAACACACCCACTATAATTTATTCTTCCCAGTCAGCCCACCCCTACTCCCAAAATATTTACTCTACCCCCTACTCCCAAAATATTTACTCTACCCCTAAAATATTCACTCTACCCCCTCCTCCCAAAATATGCACTCTACCCCCTACTCCCAAAATATTCACTCTACCCCCTACTCCCAAAATATTTACTCTACTCCCTACTCCTAAAAATATTCACTCTACCCCCTACTCCTAAAATATTCACTCTACCCCCTACTCCTAAAATATTCACTCTACCCCCTACTCCTAAAATATTCACTCTACCCCCTACTCCTAAAATATTCACTCTACCCCCTACTCCTAAAATATTAACTCTACCCCCTACTCCCAAAATGTGCACTCTACCCCCTACTCCCAAAATATTCACTCTACCCCCTACTCCCAAAATATCCACTCTACCCCCTACTCCCCAAACACACATCCTCAATTCAATTCCATTTCAATTCAAGGGGCTTTATTGGCATGGGAAACATATGTTTACATTGCCAAAGCAAGTGAAATAGATAACAAACAAAAGTGAAATAAACAATAAAAATTAACTGTAAACATTACACTCAGAAGTTCCAAAAGAATAAAGACATTTCAAGTGTGATATTATGTCTATATACAGTGTTGTAATGATGTGCAAATAGTTAAAGTACAAAAGGGAAAATAAATCAACATAAATATAGGTTGTATTTACAATGGTGTTTGTTCTTCACTGGTTGCCCTTTTCTTGTGGCAACATGTCACTAAGCTTGCTGCTGTGATGGCACACTGTGGTATTTCACCCAATAGATATGGGAATTTATCAAAATTCTTTGTGAATCTGTGTAATATGAGGGAAATATGTGTCTCTAATATGGTCATACATTTGGCAGGAAGTTAGGAAGTGCAGCTCAGTTTCCACCTCATTTTGTGGGCATCCTCAACTAAGAAACCTTTCAGCTTCACGCAGGCACACCCCACCCCACCCCTCACCCACACCGCTCACGGCTGTGATGTTGAGCCGGTTAAAGCGTCTGTCTGATCAGACAACACAGATAGATCAGAGAGAGAAGCCCTTACTAGGGAGGGAGGGAGGGAGGGAGGGAGAAAGGAAGAGAGGGGGGGGAGATGAGAGATGGAGGAAAAAATAGAGGGATGAGAAGATGATGGATTAGCCTATGATTGGGCGAGAGAGAGTAATGTGTTGTACACAAGAAACACACAATGGAGGGATACGCATGGATACCACCACAACATGGATACCACCACAACATGGATAACACTACAGCATCAGCACATTTCACAGTCTGACACCTACAAACACTTTAAATCACTGACCCAAAGTCAAACAAACACACACTCTCACAAAGTCAGGTGATCAAGATGAACATGTACAGGGCAGTCTATCCTTTGTGTAATAATGATATTCTGATAGAACCACTTATCTATCAGTGAGAGAAGTAGAGAGAGAGAAATAGAGAATACGAGAGAGAGAGAAAGAGAGACAAGGAGAGAGAGAGAGACGAGAGAGAGAGAGAGCACAACGAGGAGAGGGGGAGTGAAAGCGAAAGAGACGAGGAGAGAGCGAAAGCGAGAGAGAGATTGCACAGTGTGCCCTATTGCCACAAGAAAATGGCAACCTGTGAAGAACAAACACCATTGTAAATACAACCCATATTTATGTTTATTTATTTTCCCTTTTGTATTTTAACTATTTGCACATCGTTGCAACACTGTATTTAGACATAATGCCATTTGAAATGTCTGTATTATTTTGGAACTTTTGTGAGTGTAATGTTTACTGTTAATTTTTTATTGTTTATTTCACTTTTGTTTATTATCTATTTCACTTGCTTTGGCAATGTAAACATATGTTTCCCGTGCCAATAAAGCCCTTAAATTGAAATTGAAGAGAGAGAGAGAGAGTGATAGAGTAGTAGTGAGGCTGGGGTAGAGGATACAGGAATGTGGCATTATAGGACTTTGCTGAGGTGACATTTATTATCACAATAAAATGGTATGATGAGGAAATTAAGGGAGATAGTCGATAGAAGAGATACTCATAATAGAGATGTCATCTCATTTATATTTAAAGAGGTGTGCTGTGCTCAATCCCTGAGATTAGAAATATACACAGGACTTGATCCAAAACCAGTTGGATGGAATCACGAACGCATCATCACTTTACATAATACACACTGTTTACTGTAAACCAGCTTAATCTGGTAGGAGTATTTTAGCATCATCAATATGGTGCCCTCCGTCTCTCTGGTTTGGTTGTCAGTAGGTTTGTGTTGGATAGTCTATGTTAAATCAGTTAGACTGTGTGTTAGTAGCAAATCCGTGTGGAACCCAGATCCTCTGACCTTCAATGACCTTCCCAGCTGTATGGGGAATCCCTCTCTCCCTCTCTCACCCCATTCCTTAACCTCAACCCCTCGCACCCCAGGACGGCCCTCAAAAAAAACCCACTTCCAAAGACCCGACCCAAAGCCCCATTCAAACCACTCCAATCTCACCCCACCCCCCCGAACACTCCCTCACCCAGAAAGGCCCCCTCCCCCGGGAAAACGGAGAAAACAGCCCCCCCCCAAACGAACAAACCCCACCCCAAGCGACAAAAAACACCGCACCCCATCACCCCATTCCCCCATCAAAAAACACCAATCCCCTCTCTAACTCACCACCAATTCCCCTCAATCTCAACCCATTCCCCCCCCTCTACACCCCATCCTCCCTCTCTCACCCCATTCCCCTCTACTCACCCCATTCCCCATCTCCTCTCTACACCACAGACCCCAACTCGCCCCTACCCCACTCCCCCCTCTCACCCCATTTCCACTCCACTCTCTCACCACCCATTCCTCCCTTCAACCAATCCCTACACCCATGATCCACCCTCCAAACCATCCCACACCAACCCCCTACACCATATCACACATTAGCCCATCTCCCTCTCTCACCCCATTCCACCCCACATCTTACTCTCTCACCCATCAGACACCCCTCTCCACACTCACCCCATTCCCCCTCTCACTACTCACCACCCATCCCCATCCCCCTCTCCCCCCTCTCTCACCCCATTCCCCCTCTCTCACCCATCCCCCCTCTCCTTCTCTCACCCCATATTCCCCCCCCCTCTCTCACCCCAGTCCGCTCTCTCCCTCTCACCATTCCTCGCTCCCTCCCTCTTTCACCCCATTTCCCCCCTCCCCTCTCTCATCCCAGTCCTCTCTCTCCTCTCTCACCCCATTCCCCTCTCTCCCTCTCTCACCCCATTCCTCTCTCTCCCTCTCTCACCCCATTCCCCCCTCTCTCATCCCATTCCTCTCTCTTACACTCATCCCCTTTCCTCCCGATGCCCCCTCTCTTCACTCTCTTTCTGTTCACTCGTTTCTCACTAAGACACCAGTTGATTTGTCCCAGCTCCACCTGAGACCCAAACCATACAGACAACAAAAACTCCCAGCTGCAGGCCTTCCACTATTCACATCTGACATATAGGTAACCCTATACATACTCCATTCAAACTGAGAACAATGAATTACCCCCCCCCCTCTCCTCTCTCTTACGTACACACACGCACACACACACATCCTCCATCTGCCCTTCATGAGGTATACACAAAAAAATATATATATATATATGCACGCATGACTGTAAGTCGCTTTGGATAAAAGCGTCTGCTAAATGGCATATTATTTATTATTATTAGAGGAAATCTCAATCTGAGCTAAATCCATCCATCACTCCATCCAACCGTAAACCAACGTTTACCAAGTAGCTTCTAATGTCACACTGATACATAAGGTTTCAAACAATGCTTCATAGACACTAACCTGCCACTCCCCATTCTGTAATACAACACACACACCTCCCTTTGGTGTAATGCATTATGCATTTTCCGCCAAATAGTAATTTACTCTGTTATTAGCATAAAGAGTCTCTGTCTGCGTCTCTGTTGGCTGAAATGGCCGAATGGTGGAAAGAGAGTGTGGTGGGACCCACATGAATAAATACTATAGTATACTATGGCATAAATACTTTAGTCTAGTATGGTATAAATACTATAGTCTACTATGGTATAAATACTATATTATAAACTGGGTGGTTCGAGCCCTGATTGCTGATTGGCTGACAGGTGTGGTAAAACATGACAAAACATTTATTTTTACTACTCTAATTACGTTGGTAACCAGTTTATAATAGCAATAAGGCACCTCGGGGGTTTGTGGTATATTTCCAATATAACTTGTGGTATATTGGCCATATACTACACCCCCTCGGGCCTTATTGCTTAAATATACTATGGTATAAATACTATAGTATTCACTGTAATGTTTTTTCTGACTTTACTGTAGTATTTACAGTAGTATACTGTAGTAAAATAAAACTAGTATATACTATAGTAATTCATGTAGTGTTTTTGTGGATTGTAGTATTCATTGTAGTGTTTTTGTTTGATTATCTTTGACATAGAATTGGAGGCTTTCTCCTTGAGGAAACCTACTGGAGAAATACTAGGTAGGTAGGTAGGACTGGGGTCTGAACAGATAGTTCAGCGCTTCTGCTCTTTTCTATAACCTGTACGGAACACATTATATGGTCTATACTTGGCATGTAGGTTTCTCACTTATGGGTGGCACAACTTGATATGGGGGAGAGGAATGTGCAGGGCATATGCAAATTTATTACAGTAGTATTTACTATAGTTCAAAAAGTGTCGTGTTTTTGCGGACATTACTGTAGTATTTACTACAGTGTTTTGGGAGGGATAATAATGTAGTGTTTACTATAGTATACTACAACATTCTATAGTAAGTACTCCACATGATTGAGGGACACTACAGTGTGTAGTATAGTATTCTACAGTATACTACAGTTTACTATGGAATTATATAGGAAGTACTGAAGTATTCTATAATAAACTGTAGTATTTTTTCATGTGAGGAGAGTCGACTCCAAAAGAGTCGATTCATCGACTCCTTGACCACGAGAGTCGGAGGCGACACCAAAAATCCTGGAGTCATTAAAAACAAAATCAGCCAGCTAGGCTGACGTAGGCTACTGATTAGCCTTGAGTGTTTTGTTTAGTAGAGATTGTCAGATGGCTCCATATGCATTGCTTATCAATCACCCAGTTCATTAGGGTGCGTGCACACACTGACATTGCAGCTGTAGCTAATTTTAGCTAATTGTGGTCAGTTTTGTCAAATTTGAGTCCGTCGAGAAAGCGTACATTCCAACGACTGACAGCAGGAGTCGGAGTCGACTCCACTAGAAACAGAATATCCAGTCTCTCTCTGGCCCCTCGTTGTCCTGACAACAGCCCACACAGGAACAGCAAGGAACCAGGTCAGTGCTGGAATCGTATCACTCTAACACCAGTTTCATAAACAGACAGGTTACGGCAATTACTGACCCCCACTAGCACCTGCCCACCTGCTCCTCTCCTCTCCACACAAAGAGGGAGAGAGAGACACACGCACACATAAATTATTATATTCTGTCAACACTGAGATGAAATTGTATGGTGTTGTTCATAGAAACTATACTGTATAACAACATCCCTTTTATTAAACAATGAGCTTTGAAGCCTTTTGAATATTTCAGAACATGTCATAACACTTGTGGTTAGACATGTAGCCTACAGACCTCCTAACCTCATTCTAAGAGTACATAAAACATGGGGAATATGAAGTGTTACCCCTTTAAGTATTCATGTCATCAGACTAAATACAATGCACGACATACAAAAAGTACATGAGAGATCTTCTAATCTTTGTATTAGTTCATATAAATTATATTTTTGTGTGAGTTGTAATGTAAACAATAGGTTTGTACTAGTTGTAATGTAAACAATAGGTTTGTACTAGTTATAATGTAAACAATATGTTCTGTGGGCCCCCAAGCTCTAATCTGGCCCCTGGTTTATAAGAGCCACATTGAGGCCTAATTGATACTGCAGTAAGAGCCCCAAACTGAGCCATTCACACACACACACACACACACACACATCCCATTTCAGCGTCCCCTTTTAATCTTACAGGGACATCCATTATTCAGCATGAGCAGGTGGGAGGGGAGGTGAGGGGTGAAGAGGAGGCGTGGTTTATGAGGAAAGGGGGGCATCATTCAAAAGAAGCACCCCCACTCCATCCCAGCCCATCAATGGCAATTTGGAAGCAGCCAAAGATGGAAGAGGGAGAGGACAAAGAAACCTAAGGGAGTAATGTGTGACCTTAGCACGCTAGACAACACAGACACACTTCTGCCCTGCAATACTTTGGTCTATTTATCATTACATTGTTATTGATTACTGCATTGTTGGTTTTAGAGCTTGCAAGAAATGTATTTCACTGTACTTGTGCATGTGACATTAAAACTTGAAACACTAAACACACACACAGTTACAGTAGGCACAAGCTAAAAATACCTGATGTGTTTCTGAAAGGTTATTTTTTATCATCAAATCTGTGATCCTATTAAAAGATCCCAGTGGAAAGAGAGAGTAGCATCTCAAAATCAACTGAAATAAAAACAAACAACAGCCTCTTGTTTGTTGTGCTTGCAACTGCTTAAACACACACACACACACACGCACACACACACACACACACACACACACACACACAAAACACACGCACACACACACAGAGGAGCGAGGCCATTGATCAATCTAAGGAAACTAGGTCTGCATGAAGCCTTGCTGCATGAAGCCAAGAAACACGCACGCTCAACCTCAATGCCCTCCTCACACACTAAACACACACAGCTCAAGAAAGTTATCATCAACAAAGCAGGATGCAGTGTGATTGGTTGAAGAGTGAGGTCAGTGAGCAGCGCTTGGGGAGCGAGGGATGGATGGAGAAGAGCAGCACACACACACAGCATTTAACAGAACCTCATGAAACACACAGCCACCGCAGGGGAGAGAGAGAGAGAGGAGTTGTTTTTATACATGAGGCATCTTATGAGAACAGGGAGGATGCACACATCAGAGAAACATTCACTCCATACTACCATTGTACTGATCACAACAACAGGGGTTCCAACCTTTATGCAGGACGCCCAAACGATACCATACAGACACACACAGTTGCAGCACAGACTCCATATGATGAATGACGTTCGAGCACCTCAGGTCACGAAACGCAGCATATGACAAGAGACGTGCCTGGCTGTGTCACAACACTAGCGCTCCATCCCACAGTGGCACTTCATGCATCGTACAGTAACCCTCCAAGTGGCAGCACCGTGCTGATTGGATATTCCTGTGATGCCATCTCCATTTCTCTCAGTCTACTGTGTGTGAGTGGCTCTGGGTGACAGGGGAAATATATCCTCATACAGAGAGAGATGACTTCAGATATAATGACATGACAGAGTACAGACTCACTTGAATGATGCACACTCACTTCTACACACAACTGCCTGCTTAGGTGAGCTTGGTTCATTTATTTCACTTTTGACATGCTGAGACCAACGTCTCTTTTTCAGAAGAACCCTGTGATTACAAAAATGATACCCATCAATACACTACGAAAAGCACAAGAGACACAAAACACAAACATAGAAAACAAACACATTCTTCAGTAAAACAGATAATCAATCAGCAGCCGTCTGAATAGCCTTAAGACACCAAAACATAACATTTTAGAAGGTTTTGGTGATTATTCCACAAGTAAGGTGCAAAAAACTAAAAGCAGATTCACCAAACTTAGTGGAGATCGAAGGGATCTCCAGAGTTAGCCATCCCTGAGACCGGGTCTGGTAACTCGTACATCTGTAGGTTAACAATGAAGCAAGGTACGGCGGAAGTTTCTTTAAGTGGGCTTTATAAACAAAAATAGTGCAATGCATCGATCTACAAGACCTCAAAGAGGGCCAGCCTACTTTTTGATACAGAGAGCAGTGATGTGTACTGAACCTGTCACCCTGTGTTTGTGTGTCTGTGACACACAAACACAGACACACACACAGAGAGAGAGAGGCAAAACTTCCCCTCATTTGGGTAAGGCCATTGCTCAGCAGAGTGTGAGATAGAGAGCTTGAGATAGAGAGCTAGAGAGAGAGGAAGAGGGGAAGAGGGGAAGAGAAACAGAAATAGCAGAAAGAGAAACAGTGAGAGGGAGAAAGCTGAGCGAGAGAGAGATGGAGGGATGGAGAGCGAGAGAGATAGCCCCACAAACACACAACATATCATTTCTTCCCCGAAAACAAGGTGGCCCAAAAGTGCGTACACTGTGCGTACACTGGGAGGAAATGTGGGAAAAATGGTCCTGTCTGCTCTGTACCACTATGATCAGCCAGAGGTGAAAGATGTCTCATTCCTCTGTCATCAAGTCACTCACATAGTTGACACCTAAACCTCCATTAAAGACACCATTAGAGCATTGTGTTAAAGAGGTACTGCCAGATTCTGGCAATTAAGCTGTTGTTCTACTTACCCAGAGCCAGATGAACTCGTGGATACCATTTTAATGTCTCTTCATGCACCATGAAGGACACGCTACCGCACACGCTACCGCACACGCTACCATACCTGTAGACTTCCAATCATTACGCTAACGCTAGTTAGCATTGGCTCGCAAAACTACCTCTTAACTTCCTTTATACTGCGCGCAATGACAACTGCCAGAATCTCGCAGTATCCCTTTAACACCTCATTCGAATGCCTGCTTATGAACGCTTATAACCAGCTTATGAATGGCTTATAACCTGCTTATGAACGGCTTATAACCTGCTTATGAACAGCTTATAAACTTGTGTTCCCTAGTGAATAAGCAGCCTATAAGCAGTGTTACCAACCAAGCAGTCATAATCAATGATAGGCCTACAGCACTGATACTAACATGTTTTCCGAGATCAAAGCTTTGTGAAGAAGACATTGGGGACTAATTAAACAGCTCTTAAAGACATGCTCCGGTACTTTGGCGACTAGTAAGTATTTTTGAAACATCCCGCTTTGGGCTGGATGTGTCAATGTGTAATTCACCCACTCATAATCTATGAGCGGAATTATTGTCTTACCTCAATTAGGCACGAAATCGCTTGTTTGAAAGAGACTATTTTCTGGAAGCTGTGCTGCACCATTTTCCCTACATTTCCCCCCCCCGCATGGGCCAGCCCTCTAGCAATTCGAGTTCCAGCCAATGAGATTCAGCCCCTCATCATTTGAGTGGCAGCTAGCAAGAATCACACACAGCAGAGCGAAAGAGAGAGCAATGACGTGGTGCACATACAGTATCTGCACATATTGTGATGTAGTACGCAATTTTTGGGGACCACTTTTGGCTCAGGGGTGCTACTTTCAGAACTATTTGCTAAAAAGTATACAAAAGTAACAGAGAGTCCCTTTAATCATACAAAAGACGGTCTAGTACTACTGGCTATTTTACTATCATATGCAGAAAACATGACATAGAGAGAAAGGGGATTTATCTCAGTAGATACAGAGAATGTTGGTGATAGGTCAAAGGTTATACTCACTGGTTCAGTTCAACATCCAAGATGAACTTCTCACCAAACGCATCCACCTGGAAGCTGGCTTGGGCCACGTGGTTCCCCTGTGAATAAAAAATATAAGACAAAGACGTCACCTTATCAGAAACGTTATACAATCATCTCTATTCCACTAAGGAAAATGATTATTCTACACATCAAAAGTATTAAAACATACTAACAATGATACTAGACATCTGAGGACGGGGCTGTGTGAATAATAGACAGACTTCTGAAACGGGAGCTGTTATTCAGCTGAATAACAGAATCTAGAGACGGGATTGATGAGTGACTAGCCACATTCTGAGAGACGGGAGCTGTGATGGAAGCTGAACTAGACCCAGACATCTGAGAGACGGGAGCTGTGATGGAAGCTGAACTAGACCCAGACATTCTGAGAGACGGGAGCTGTGATGGAAGCTGAACTAGACCCAGACATTCTGAGAGACGGGAGCTGTGATGGAAGCTGAACTAGACCCAGACACTCTGAGAGACGGGAGCTGTGATGGAAGCTGAACTAGACCCAGACATTCTGAGAGACGGGAGCTGTGATGGAAGCTGAACTAGACCCAGACATTCTGAGAGACGGGAGCTGTGATAAGCTGAACTAGACCCAGACATTCTGAGAGAGGGAGCTGTGATGGAAGCTGAACTAGACCCAGACATTCTGAGAGACGGGAGCTGTGATGGAAGCTGAACTAGACCCAGACACTCTGTGATGTTGTGATCAAACGTTACCCAACACCATGAATTTCAAATACTTAATCTGACTCTCTTTTTCTGAAAGACAGTGGTGAAATTAACCATGCAAATCTGTGTAACTCATACCCTCCCACCTACCCCTGTACTCACACACACACACACACACACACACACACTCACACACACACACACACACACACACACACACACACACACACACACACACACCCTCCCTGATGGTTCGACCAGAAATGATTGATTCGGTTGAGGGGGAAGGTCTAATACATCCCTAGCACTGGGCACATATGGCGCGCGGTTTATTACAGGCCCCAGGGGCAACGAGGACTTCCCACTATTGTTCCTGTGCAACTCTGAGGGAGTCCCCAGCTAGTCTAACACAGGGCTAACCCCTCCCCCAGGCTGGCCCACGGGCCTGAGTCAATACACACCGGACGCTGCATTAAAACCAAGGGAGGGTGTGTGCGTGTGTGTGTGTGTGTGTGTGTGTGTGTGTGTGCGCGCATATTCCGGTACGCGAGTATGTGATTCCTTTTCAGGGCACACTTTAAAATCAAATTAAGCGGATTGAATCCACGTGAAGTGGTGCCAGTAATTGTGTTCTGCTGGACCAGATTTCCCAGTTCGACTGGGCCGAGCCGAGGCACCGAGACCATCAGCGACTCCCGTTTCATTGATTACTGCATCATAGCAGTACCTATGTCCACTGATGGAGCTAGGGGCCTACCACGGAGTGCTGTTATCCTACTACAACACAGACAGCCTTACACACACACACACACACACACACACACACACACACACACACACACACACAGCAGACTCCACTGATGGCTATGGGCCCATGACTATAAGTGCTTTTCTTCCACAGAAACACTTAAACAGCACTCAGCTGAACTCTTCTCAAAGCTCCTCTTTTAAAGGTGTACAATAGGTTACGCTTTCAACTGAAAATAGTAGACTCAACCCAAGTCTATAAATAGTTATTTTTGTGTGTCACACGTTTGAGGATGATTTGACAGGTTCCTTTCAGATGTTATGATACCGAGCTAAAAACAGCAGAAATCAGAGCAGAATCAGACAATATGACACTGAGACTGCAGGCTATGTGACGATGTGGCTGATTTGAGGTCAGTTTAAAACTCTCTCTGGGGGATGACAAGAATCTCAAAGACTGATTAGATCAAATGAAGATTCCATCATATCTCTCTCTCCCTCTCTCTCTCTCTCTCTTTGTGGGGCAGTATAATTTCACCTGGAGACACCTGATGCAGTTGTGCTTTAAATAGTGGCAATAAGATGACGCAGTGTTTCCCCCAATAACTTTATTTTAGGCGGCACCAGAATCTTCTTCTGAAAAATGAAGCCAAACCAAGTTAACTGTTCTAATGACGTACGCTCAAGTTCCTTATTAGAGCTCAACATATAGAACACCAGTGAGGTCATATAAACAATGTTGAAGCCAATGACAGATGTGTCCAATTAGCTTGGTTATCATGACTAGCCTGGTTCTCTAGCCTAGCATAGCCTCTGGAACTATAAACCCATAACAGGTTAGCGTCCAGGGGCGGATTGGCCATCTGGCAATTCTGGCGAATGCCAGATGGCTTTGGCGCAATTTCTCTGTTATACTCCTCTATAATGAGCCTTTGGCTGATCAGTGGGTAATGGTCAGCTCCCCTACCAAGATGGGCCTGCCTGGTTTTCTGATAGGCTGAGCTGAGGTCATGCAAACTCACATTCAAAGTTAAACGCGGTATGAGCAAAGAGAACTGCTCCGGCCTTGTCATCATAATCGTAAACAAACTGAAAGGGTGCCTATAAACGTAGAAAGAGCACATTCTACATTGTCACCTCACTCAAAACGTCCTATTTTTTGGGTGACTAAAACCATGATTTGGTCAAAGTGCATTATCCTCATGATTCCTGTAATGAAAGCGTCTGCCCTGCCCTTGTGCCTGTGCCCTTGATGTGCCTGTGCCCAGGCTGACATTTCAAGCAGTCTTTTCAAACAGTTCTTACACTAAAAGGGCAATATCATAATTTCACAATTGCACAGTATTATTCCAACCTCATATTGTGGAAATATATATAAAACACAGATAAATCACGTTTTTGACTGCACTGGGCCTTCAATATCAATGACACAACTAGATTTTAGATAAAAGGATGGAATAGTGGAAGAGATTGTGGAATAAAAAATCGGATTATGTTTATAATGTGTACATTTCAGAGGCAGAGAGCCTTATGATTATATCTGAGTATCCAGACTAGGTCTTCATATCAAACAGATTATTTATTGGCCAAACAACCACCCAGCTGCTGAACTTTAAAGGAAGCCAACCTGACAGACAGCAGGCTCTCTTTAACCATCCAAGGGGCAGTGTGTCTCGGACATAGGGTCATGTGGGTCACGGGTGAATCCATGGCAAGGGCACAAACCAATCATTATTCAATAGATTGTAAAGATATTGTGTCAGGTCGGGTCACCTTTATAATAATATAACCTCTCTTACCATATAGCAAAAAAAAGTATTTGACCCAATTAAACATGTATGGATGTTATAGGCCTATTTGTTTATTCATTCTAATGCATAGGCTACATCCCCATGTGTGGCATGCATGAGCTCTTTTGTTGATCAGGCCTGAGCAAAGGTAGGCTTTATCTGGCCTGTCTTTTGTTTATGGATGTCCATAGAATAAACCCACCATATGCCACTAGGCTACCTTTTCGTTTGCTCAATGAAAAGGCACTGCCTAGGCTTTTAAAAGTGGTGAAATTGCATAGCCTATATTTCTGTAAATAGACCACTAGTCAAAAGAACTAGCTCCTAATAGGTGAAAATGTGATCTTAACGAATTATCTGTGTATTGCGTAAAAATGAGATGATTCAACAAAAACATAAACAACATGAGATAAGCGGGACGTCTCCAATGGCAACGGGTACCAAAGGCATCTGTCTATCTGCCCATCGCCACCGTCACCATAATAAATAACAACACTGTGTAGGCTACCTGTGTGGGGCTGGAGCTGGCTCTAGTCCTGGTGCTGATGACATCGTGCGTGATTTGGCTGTGGTTGTGCATGCTGTAGAGCAGACGGAGAGGGACCGTGTCCTCCTTCCCGATGAACCTGCTCGCATCACGAACAGCCTTCGCCTGCGACAAGGCGTCTCCTGCACAGGGAGGAAATCGCGATTTTTATGACTGCCATAGTTATCCTGGCGCAGAAAACACAGCTTCAAGCGCCTATACCAAAACATAAATCAATATGAAATAGCACTGTAATGGTTTTGGAATATCTTTCCTCAAATAGTTGAAATTAATAAATAGACAGATTCCCTTTCATAAGGTAACATTACATGCATATTTTAGAGACTGTTTACGTTGGGGAGTCAGGCTCCCTCTCTGGCAGCATAATAAAATGGAATATGGAACACGTTATTGGTGATGCTGTTGCCATTCGGATCTATTCCAATAAAATACATCGCAATATTTGTTGTCATAAATACATTACCATTTCGAGGCATATGATTGCTGGAATGAACGATGCACATCAGTCCATAGACGCACAAAAGGGAAATCCACCATCGCCGATACATCGTCATCAATTCTTCCTAATCGAATAGACAGAAAGAGGGACAAAGAACAAAAAGAAAACGATAATCCTAAAACGGATTTGGGCACCTCTCTCTTCGCTAGAGGTTCGGGGTTGAGAAGCACGGATGAAAGAGCGCGCTGGTCGTCTGCTTAGCGCAGTCTCTTGCGCTGGTGGCCATCCGGATGCTCTTGCTGACCCTGCATTGAGACGCTCCCGCTACTGCTGCTGCTACTGCTAGAACGCCGAGTGCATCTGAGCGGGCTGAGTCTCTATGGAACACAGAGCGGAGAAGGAGGAGAGGAAAGAGGAAGGGAAGCGAGGAGAGAGGGGACACCTTAAAGCACAACAATATCCAGTGGCTCACTGCAGAAGCGCCTCATGCGTAAACATGAGAGGAGAAAAGCGAGAGCCGAGATGTCGGGAACTGTAGTGTGCACGCTCCATCTCCATCCATACCGCATAGGCTACCTGCTGACCGCTTCTGCACATAATCATAGGCTATAAAAGGAGACTAAAATAAGCCTTGGTCTCAGTATGACTCCCTGATAAAATAAAGGTTAAAATAATTAAACAAATAATAACACGCACGGTCAAGATAAACAAACTGTAATACTGCTATGTTGTGTAATAACTGCCTATCATACTCTTTCTATCAATACTATATTCTCAGGTGCTGTATAATTAGCCCAACCAGTAGCCAGATGGCGATCTTTCGTCATCTGCATCCACCTGTAATATGCCCAGCCGGCTATACACTTGCGTCCCCCTGCGACCAGCTCATACATAAAACATCCTCTGTTCAGCCTGCAGGCATCAGTTTCCTCCTAAAAAATCGGTTTAATTGCCCTTCGGCCTAACAAAACGTGAAAATATGCCTACTATCTGAATGTCTGCAGCATTGAAGGTCCCCAAGAACACAGTGGCCTCCATCATTCTTAAATGGAAGAAGTTTGGAACCACCAAGACTCTTCCTAGAGCTGGATGCCCGGCCAAACTGAGCAATCGGGGGAGAAGGGCCTTGGTCAGAGAGGTGACCAAGAACCAAGAAACCTGCTCCAGAGCGCTCAGGACCTCAGACTGGGGTAAAGGTTCACCTTCCAACAGGACAACAACCCTAAGCACACAGCGAAGACAACGCAGGACTGGCTTCAGGACAAGTCTCAATGTCCTTGAGCGGCCTAGCCAGAGCCCAGACTTAAACCCGATCGAACATCTCTGGAGAGACCTGAAAATAGCTGTGCAGCAACGCTCCCCATCCAACCTGACAGAGCTTGAGAGTATCTGCAGAAAATAATGGGAGAAAATCCCCAAATACAGGTGTGCCAAGCTTGTAGCGTCATACCCAAGAAGACTCAAGGCTGTAATCGCTGCCAAAGGTGCTTCAACAAAGTACTAAGTAAAGGGTCTGAATACTTATGTAAATGTCATATTTTCGTTTTTTATTTTTAATAAATTAGCGAACATTTATAAAAAACTGTTTTTGCTTTGTCATTATGGGGTATTGTGTGTAGATTGAGGGGGGAAAAAACAATTTAACCACTTTTAGAATAAGGCTGTAACCTAACAAAATGAGGAAAAAGTCAAGGGGTCTGAATACTTTCCGAAGGCCTAAAGGCCGAGGCAATAAGAAGACACAGTGTGTTTAATCACAAATCCGGATAGCAACCTCTGTCCATTGAAGTCCACAAAGCATATTGCATGTACAGTAACAGACAGTTACATGAACTACAGCATGGTCAAGCAAGTTAATGTTTCCGACATTTTCGGACCACTAAACAACGATTGATTTAGAACCACAGAGAGTTACTGCAAGTCGCAAGATAACAGGAGCTGCCTCCACTATTCCAACACCATTTCAACATCATCAAATCACCTCTGCTTAGTCTAATACAGTGACAACTAAAAGATACCAAAAACGATTTAGGCCAATCAACATAAGCTAAATATGATGTGGCTGTCCATGGTTCTGATTTATGTGTGCTTGTGCGCTTTCGTGCAAGTAGAAAAACATGTTGACTCACTCAACTTGTAGAGAAAAGCCAATGCCATCCTCCTCTCTTTCATGATGTCGAAACGGTCTATCACTCTGTCATACAGTAGACGCTTTTATTTTTTGGTGTCCTAGGCTACCTGGCTAAAATGCATGCTAGCTATTGTAACTTTCATTCATGGGCAGCGTTAGCTAGTTAACATTAGCCTTCTACATCTAGCTACAGTGAGGGGAAAAAGTATTTGATCCCCTGCTGATTTTGTACGTTTGCCCACTGACAAAGACATGATCAGTCTATAATTTTTATGGTAGGTTTATTTGAACAGTGAGAGACAGAATAACAACAAAAAAATCCAGAAAAACGCATGTCAGAAATGTTCTAAATTGATTTGCATTTTAATGAGGGAAATAAGTATTTGACCCCTCTGCAGAACATAACTTAGTACTTGGTGGCAAAACCCTTGTTGGCAATCACAGAGGTCAGACGTTTCTTGTAGTTGGCCATCAGGTTTGCACACATCTCAGGAGGGATTTTGTTCCACTCCTCTTTGCAGATCTTCTCCAAGTCATTAAGGTTTCGAGGCTGACGTTTGGCAACTCGAACCTTCAGCTCCCTCCACAGATTTTCTATGGGATTAAGGTCTGGAGACAGGCTAGGCCACTCCAGGACCTTAATGTGCTTCTTCTTGAGTCACTCCTTTGTTGCCTTGGCCGTGTGTTTTGGTTTCATTGTCATGCTGGAATACCCATCCACGACCCATTTTCAATGCCCTGGCTGAGGGAAGGAGGTTCTCACCCAAGATTTGACGGTACATGGCCCCGTCCATCGTCCCTTTGATGCGGTGAAGTTGTCTTGTCCCCTTAGCAGAAAAACACCCCCAAAGCATAATGTTTCCATCTCCATGTTTGACGGTGGGGATGGTGTTCTTGGGGTCATAGGCAGCATTCCTCCTCCTCCAAACATGGCGAGTTGAGTTGATGCCAAAGAGCTCGATTTTGGTCTCATCTGACCACAACACTTTCACCCAGTTCTCCTCTGAATCATTCAGATGTTCATTGGCAAACTTCAGACGGCCCTGTATATGTGCTTTCTTGAGCAGGGGGACCTTGCGGGCGCTGCAGGATTTCAGTCCTTCACGGCGTAGTGTGTTACCAATTGTTTTCTTGGTGACTATGGTCCCAGCTGCCTTGAGATCATTGACAAGATCCTCCCGTGTAGTTCTGGGCTGATTCCTCACCATTCTCATGATCATTGCAACTCCACGAGGTGAGATCTTGCATGGAGCCCCAGGCCGAGGGAGATTGACAGGACTTTTGTGTTTCTTCCATTTGTGAATAATCGCACCAACTGTTGTCACCTTCTCACCAAGCTGCTTGGCGATGGTCTTGTAGCCCATTCCAGCCTTGTGTAGGTCTACATCTTGTCCCTGACATCCTTGGAGAGCTATTTGGTCTTGGCCATGGTGGAAGAGTTTGGAATCGATGATTGCTTCTGTGGACAGGTGCTTTATACAGGTAATAAATGAGATTAGGAGCACTCCCTTTAAGAGTGTGCTCCTAATCTCAGCTCGGTACCTTATAAAAGAACCTGGAGAGAAACTTTCTGAGAAAGACACCTGGGAGCCATTTAGAAATGAGAGAAAGGGGGTCAAAATACTATTTCCCTCATTAAAATGCAAATCAATTTATAACATTTTTTACATGACTTTTTCTGGATTTTGTTGTTGTTATTCTGTCTCTCACTGTTCAAATAAACATACCATTACAATTATAGACTGATCATTTCTTTGTCAGTGGGCAAACGTACAAAATCAGCAGGGGATCAAATACTTTTTTCCCTCACTGTACATATTGAACTTCCATCCTCTCAGGCCAGGGGCACAACAATGTATGAATTAATGGTTGGATCAGAATCGCCGTTATAATCATTGGCCAGTATGGAGAATTAAGTAAAACTACAAGTCCAAATCCCTATATCCATCCATGGCTAATTTAGGAAAGTGCCAATTTTAGTTAGCTGGCTTGCTAGCCACCAGAGGACAACAACACAATAAGATGCAACAAATTCAAGTTTTTCTGTCAATGAGGTATGCTCTCAATGGGATTTGATAATAGCGACGACAAAATCCAAGCTGGCTTCTCTTGACACTTTTTTGGGATGCGCTAGGACCATTCACAGCTGCGGATTGGCTAATTTTTTATACTTTTTTTGTCAAGGGAGGCCCGATGCTTGCTGGCTTCCGTTGCCTTCAATGCTACGGGTGGCAACAATGTCATACTCGTTTGGACCAGACAGCATCAGATAGATGGACTACACATATAGACAGAGGGGCGCTGTTTCGCTCTCTCGGATACCTTCTCCTGTGAGATACGTTCAGCCTCTTGTGAATTGAAGGAAAATTATGAAACACAGAGAAACGAAAGATAAATAATGTATATTTTTTTATTTGATTTTTTTGGGGGGAAGCCTGGCTTCCCTTGGAATCCATGAATACACTCCACTGCCAATGACCAGTCATCAGCATTGTCGCACAAAGGCGGTAGGGGTTAAACTAAGGTTAGGTTTAGGGTAGAGACGTACCAAGGGTTCCAAATAACACTGACCTATCAAGATTAGTGACCAGAAATAACTTGTTTAATTTCCTCCAGTTTTGCCTGGCAAAAACAGAGTAGGCCTACGTTTATCATGCATATAAAATACAGTTTAGCAATCTACTACTGACTCATCATTACCAGAACAATAGGCTACCTGGCGATTTGGTCTTATTTCAGATAGGCAGCTGTAACATCGCACTGACTTCAATAGATGTTTACATATCTTGCACTACTCATCTCATATGTATATACTGTATTCTATTCTATAATATTCTACTGTTGCTTGTCCATATATGTATATATTCTTAAATTCCATTCCTTACTAGATTTGTGTGTATTGGGTATATGTTGTGAAATTGTTAGATATTACTTGTTAGATATTACTGCACTGTCAGAGCAGCTCGAAGCACAAGCATTCCGCTACACCCGCAATAACATCTGCTAAACACGTGTATGTGACAAATAAAATGTGATTTGATTATGGGATGAAAATGTAACATATTCTGGCAAATATATTATATTTGTGAGGAAGAACAGGGCTATCCAGCTGGCAACTAGCACTTTGCAGGCAGTCTGCCCTCCAAAGAGATGGGTGGTGCAAACAGAACATAGCACTCCTTTTTGGGGGTCATGGATCTTTATTTTTTAACCACTGGGATACATGACAGTGGCAACAAATGGAGTTGGGTGTTTTTTTGTTTTTTTTTACATTTAGCAGACGCTCTGACTTACAGGAGCAATTAGGGTTAAGTGCCTTGCTCAAGGGCACATCGACAGATTTTTCACCGACTAGGCTCGGGGATTAGAACCAGCGACCTTTCGGTTACTGACACAACGCTACTTAACCACTAAGCTACCTGCCGGGTTGGATATAGTCATGGTAGGTTACAGTATTTCAACAAATCTATTTTGACTGGAATTGTATGTCTGTTCAAAGTAGTTTAGTAAAATACTTTAGTCATCAGACTGTGCTGCTTTCCTCTCTTCTTGTAATAATTGCTCAATGAGTCTGACAGTGGCAACAAAAAAAATTGTTTGGGGTGGGTGCCCTTTTCTTAGTCTGTGCACGGCCCTGCCTCTGTTTACACCCCAGATAGCCAAGTTTAAATTGCATCTTCTATTCAGTCACTATCACCAGCGCCACATAGCAACTCCCATCTGACCCCAGTGCATTCATTTTAAAGCAATGAGGGAGAACGAGAGCACTATGCGAAGGTGGTAAATACAGGCACACAAATAAGGAAAAGCTATCAAACCAATGCATTTCTCCTTCTGTTAAGTTGAGGGGAATTCTAGATGCATTCAGTACATGAGCAAGTGCAAATTCTTCTTTATTACTGTTATGGAGCGAAAGAGGAAGCAATCCCGCTCGCCTTGTCTCAGTCTCTCTGTGTTGGTGGGTGTAAGAGGACGATGAGCTCTATGACAAGTTAGCCTTGAGGGAGTCCTCTCCTTTCTGTAACACAGCATGTCCAGGGTCAGGGGTACGTACTCTTATCTATGAGAATGTGCTCATTCAACTGATCATAGACATGTCAGAGCGGTTTAGGTAGTCTTTCATTTATCAAACACAGATGTCACGTAGATACTTTTTAAATCTGTACAATACATACAGAAACGTAATGGCTGTTCAATAGAAGACCTTTGGTTGTATCCCATTTTTTTTTTGTAATTAAAAATATTTTTTACAATACCACATACCAAAAACACAACCATGCAGTTCCTCTCGACACCAGAACACATGCAGGCGTTGTACAGGACTGAGGATAGTGCTCCAGCCTGTTCTCCAGATAAAACCAGTCATGGTAAAGAGGCCTAGTAGAATAAAAGCTGCCATAGTTAAATCAACACAACAGTGTTGCGCCACCACCCTCCCAACCTGAAGGGAACTATTACCTTTATAGAAGTCATAGGTTTAAAGAGCCACAGTCAATGGGCTCCCATATAGATCTGCTATGGCACTCCATGAAATTGTCATACAATAAGTTCACACAGTGAGTCCGTAAGAGGGTAGTGCTCATATTGGGGAGATTCTGGGTCACCCTAAACCCACCCCCTGCTCTCCTCTCTAGCTGTGGAAGGCCTGGAACACCCAGTCTATGTCCTCACTGGAGTGGACCAGCTGGGGAAGCCTCTGAACTCCCACTCCATGTCCTCACTGGAGTGAAACAGCTGGGGAAGCCTCTGAACTCCCACTCCATGTCCTCACTGGAGTGGAACAGCTGTAAGAGGTTCAGCAGAGAGCTGCTGGGAACGTCGGTCAGTTTTCCCTGCTCCTGAGCAGTCTGCTGCTTCTCAACTTTCCTTCTCTTTCGTCTGTAATCCCTGACCCTCCTCTGTAACGTCCTGGCAGGAGTAGGGGTGTGTGTCTGCGTGTCACCTGCCTCAAGCTCCGGAACACCCCCAGTATTCCCGGGAAGAGTATCCCCAGCCAACGTATTGTGACCCAGTTCACACTCCACGAAAGCTCTGTTGTGGTGTTCTGAAGGCCCTGCCACCTCGTGCTGACTGGAAGGGACCTTCACGCGTCCAGCTGGATCGCCACACTGTAAATCCTCTGTGTGATTAAATGAAGAGCGGCCATCTTTGTCTGTGTTAGTTCTCTGGCCCTGTTGGGAGAGTCTGGGGTTGGTGTCAGAGTCATGGGTAGAAGGATCTCTCTCTGTATTAGACACAGGTGTCGGACTCAGCCCAGCCCTCTGGGTGTGCGTGCGCGAGGATCCCTGCCGGCAGTGTCGTTTGCAGGACAGGGATCTGTGTTTGGGCTGGGGTCTGTCTGGGACATTAGAGCACCTCTTCTCCCCCTCGCTGATGCTGTGGGGAACAGGGGCTACACTGCTGCGCTTCTGAGGCTGTTCCAAGGGGTTTTCCACACTATTGGAGAGAGGGGTCTCCACTGTAGTAGACCAGAGGGACATTAGTTCTCCCTTCAGCTCTCTGGTATCCACACCTCCCTCCTTCTTCTTCTCCTCCTCCTCCTCCATCTGTATACTGGGTCCAGGAACACACAACAGGGAGGATATGCTGTACTTTGGCCTGTGGGAATAAAGAATAACTTTGAGATGTGGTGATCAGCACAACATAGAAAATCAGGGGGGGAAAAAACAGGCAATCTGCTAAATGTTTCACAAAACATTGCATTAGTTTTCCTAACAACCATGTGACTCAACAGCAGTCAATATGTGAGCGTTTACTTTGGATTTGGGTGGATTTTGCTCCTGTGTGGCTCAGTTGGTAGAGCATGGCGCTTGCAATGCCAGTGTTGAGGGTTCGATTCCCACGGGGGACCAGTACGAAGAAGAAAAGTACCTAAATGTATGCCAAATGACTAAAATGTAAGACTAATGCACCTTCGGGTTGGTGTTTGTGTTGTTTTGACATGTCTGACGTTGAAGGGCAGTGTGGAGACGAGCCTGTCCACCACCAGGTACTCATCACTCCTGGAGAAGGCCTTGTGCTGCTCACTCTGCAGGTGCTGCAGAATACACAGACACAGGTCAAGCATTACTACAACGTCTTCTTCCACTACATCAAGCACATAAGGCCTTTTGTTCATGATTAGGTCCTCGTTATAAACACGCATTAACTATGTTTAGATACATTAAACAAATCTATTGTAACTCACAGCTTTGATGTTGTTGTATTTGAGCGTACAGCATTCGCAGTAGCCTCCACGTTTCTTATCTCTGTTCCTCCTGGTCCGGTCCTGCCCCCTCTCCTCACTGGCTGACACTCTCTCCCCTCGGTTCCTGAGACACCCATAGGTCAGTAAGTAATAGCCAGGTCAGAGTTCAATCACATATAGTTGCCTTGCAACAAAGACTTAGCAGTTAGTCCTGGAGGGTGCTAAGAAATACATAACTGTTTCCTGCTGTAGCAGCAGAGTAGTGAAATGTTATAGCAATCCCCATCAACAACAGTAGGAAAAGCTGGATGTTTTGGTGAATCAGGTAAAACACAAATGCCAAGACAGGGGAATATACTGCCACAGTGCTTCTTCGGCAACTGGTGGATTTTCTTTATGTGTTCACAACAAGAAGGGTTAAGAAAGGTGAGGTGTTTAGTGAATTAATGAGACTCCATACCCGTGCTCTTTAGGTCTCTTCCCAGGGTGTTCCTGGTCCTCTACATAGAATGGACTGCAGGGGGGAGCTGACGTCAGGTTAAACTCTGGCATGTTTGGCATGGCCAGATAAATTGGACGGTAATGTCTGGCAGAGAGACATAACAAGACAGATGTTATATGAAATACTCAAACACTAACTTATGACAGTAAGAATTGCCTTAATATGTCAATACTACAGACATCGAAGTCTGTCATCTCTTTTATAGACCCACCTGCTGGAGTCCTCTACCTTCACAAACGGCTTACGGATCCTTCCACCTGAGCAAAACACAGAACAAAGCAATTGAGACAGTGCCCATGTCTGGGTCAAATAACCTCTCATACTGATCTACAGTACCAGCAGTGGAGGATGCTGAGGGGAGGACGGCTCATAATAATGGCTGGAACCATGTGTTTGATACCATTCCACCGATTCCGCTCCAGCCATTACCACGAGCCCGTCCTCCCCAATTAAAGTGCCACCTACCTCCTGTTAGTACCAGTGTTATTGTAAAACCACTATCAACATCAACCTTTATCTACTGAGATTATATACGTAGAACGTTTTACAAGTTCTCTATAACAATAACAGTGATCAAGGGTTAAAGGACATTATTTACCTTTATTCTTCTGGAAAGCTGGTTTTCCTGAAGGTTCTGCTTTGGCCTACATTAGTAAGGAATAACACACAAGACTCATGTAAGTGATATGTTAATCCAGTAAAGAACTGTCAAAATATAAGTCCAGAAACATGACTTACACTTTTCTTGACAGCAGCTGTGGTTGCGGTTGGCTTTTCAGCAGTATACTTAACATTCCTTTTCTTATTTTCCATATAAGCTATTATATCTGCAATTGAAGGAAATTCAAGAAAATATTTTTTACATATGAAAGTATCATTGTCAACATTTCTTATCAAACAAATGGATAGACGTTACCATCAATGTACAGGATTTTCACTCCCCACTCCAGAGCATTGGACAGGATCTCGTTGACCTGTATCCTCACCTACAGGGTAAAAACAAGCAAACAAACATCTTAACCGAAGAACTGAAATCCAAAGTATATCCTGAAGTATGAACAAACATTTCAATGCAAAGTGCAAACTTTCCTGTAGTTCCTGTTCGACTATCAGTCAGAAACAAAAAAAAGCAACACGCAGCATTTAGGTGTGAAATAGCTTGCCAAACTCATTAGTGAGGATCTTAACAAACCTGCTCTTTTACAACTCTCTCCACCAAAGACTTGCCCCTGCTCATGACCACCTGTCAAATACCAGAGAGAGAGAGATGGATAAATATATATATGGATAGCTTCAGTTATACAGCATCATATCATGGAAAATGATCCCATTGAGATACAGATACCAGTGACAGACAGAGTGACAGACACAGAGGGATAGTTGGCTCACCATGTCTGCCTGGCCCTGGGAGCTTCCTCTGAGGCCGTCTCTGTGGCTGCCAGGACGGGGGCGAGGGTGGGGGGAGCTGTGCCCAGAGTAAGGGCTGGGGACAAGTGTGTTGCGGCCCTGACACTGCACATACCTGGCCTCTCTCTTATTAGACACCAGGTACTTGATCTCCTTGCTGAAGAACTTCTCCACCGTCTGAGAGAGAGAGCGGACAGAGACACAGGGTCAGACGCTTGGGGGAGAACACACAAGGTCCAGCCTGAGCCAGAGTATTAATCAAATACTGTATTTAAAATGGTGGTGAAAAGAGAGAGAAATTACAGCAGGCTGCAGTGCAAGGGGCTTCAGGGCCTCTATGAGGACCCCACACACAATCTTGCCCAATGTTTTGAGCTGCTGCCCTCAGGAAGGAGATCTAGGTCCCACTGTTCAGCAAGAATAGGAGCAGGACGTGTTCCATTCTGTCAGCCATCAGGCTGCTGAACAGTGGGACATAGGACAGATGCAGGCCCAATACATGGTCGGACAGTTACGCCGCAGACTCTGAATATGTGTGACTTGAGTACTAACTTTCCAATGTATTATAGTGTATTGTGTATTTGTATGCTGACTTCACAAAATGAATTTCTATGTAAATGGACAATAACGTACAGTACCAGTCAAAAGTTTGGACACATCTACTCATTCATTTTACTATTTTCTACATTGTAGAATAATATTGAAGACATCAAAACTATGAAATAACACATATGGAATCATGCAGTAACCAAAAAAGTGTTAAACAAATCAAAATATGTTTTATATTGGAGATTCTTCAAATAGCAACCCTTTGCCTTGATGACATCTTTGCACAATCTTGGCATTCTCTCAACCAGCTTCAACTGGAATGCTTTTCCAACAGTCTTGAAGGAGTTCCCACATCTGCTGAGCACTTGTTGGCTGCTATTCCTTCACTCATCCCAAACCATCTCAATTGGGTTGAGGTCGGGGGATTGTGGAGGCCAGGTCATCTGATGCAGCACTCCATCACTCTCCTTTTTTGTTTACTACATGATTCCATGTGTGTTATTTCATAGTTTTGATGTCTTCACTATTATTCTACAATGTAAAAAATAGTAAAAATAAAGAAAAACCCTTGAATGAGTAGGTGTCTGCTAAATGACTAAATTGTAAAATGTAAATGTGTGTCCAAACTTTTGACTAGTATTGTATATTGTATCAAAGTGAGTCAACTAGAGTGATAACTTCGGTAAAAAGACAGAAGCAATTGCTAGTAGAGTTATGCTCCAAAAGACTGAAAGCCACTGCTCCTCTACAGTAAGTAGACAGTAGCCACATTAGTGTGAAAGGCAGCACGTTGTCACTTCACTTCAAAAATGGTCCATGATCAGCTGCATGTCAACACTTCAAGACCCCCTTAACAATTTACACAACCTATCAATTTGAATTTCCTATTACACTGGCTCAGGAATGATTATCCCCCTTTGTTTAAGGCAGGCAAGCTGATAATTGTATCATCCACATTCAATGTGCTATAATACTTTACAGTCAATGTTATGATGTCCAATGCTAAAAGATGTAAACAAATATTCACTTACCCCTCCCAACCTTTTGATGTCGTTCTCTAATGTCTCTGCTCTTCTGTTTGATGGCAAATCTAAGTAGAATAGTTTCCCAGTGAAAGGCTTGTTTTGGGCAGGATAAGATTCACATGGTGGTTTGGCATGGCTCTTCGAAGCTGACTTGTGCCCCTTATCAGCGAGTTTGGGGTCTGAAAAAGTAGCAAAGTTAGTTTAAATTTGACGGAACTTTCTTGCAGAGGCTCATCAACAATTTAGTAATAACGTTAGCTAGCTACATGTTTAAAAATATCCCTTACCTTGTAAACGGGGTTTTGTAGACTTTTGGGTGCGTCTAGATTTCATCTTATTCAATATCAATTGAGAGGAGAATAGAATATCCTTGTTTTCTCCTGTGTTGTAAACAATACTAGACATGTTTACAAACTGAGTTAATGCTGGACGCTAACAGTAACAGTAACGTTAGCTAGCTAAACTGCATAAAACCGTTAGCGTTAAAAACAAAAAAAAGAAGTTTAAGGAGAAATGTAAATATTGACATAGTTAGAGAAGTTTAAAAAGAAAAGTTGGACTTCAAAGAAAACTAACAGACCCTTGCTAGCACAAGCAAGCAACAAAACGGTGCCACGGCAATTTAAACTGTCTGTTTTTTAAACTACCGGAAGTGGAATCTGCCAACTGACCCAGCTAACTAACGTTAGCTTGCTAGCTAACTCACTGGCTAAAAGTTCATATTTACCTCGTGAGAGCCTGTGGGCTTGTAAAACAATATATTTCCGTAAATTGACATTTGTTACAACCGATTTTCACGAAAGTTCAGTACAGTATCTTTTTACTTTTTTGGTTCAGCTAAGATTACTTTGTTGCCATAATATTTTGTTGTTCTATCTTCTTTCCCGCTTCGAAAACTCCCGTCATTCCAAAAAGGGGGCGTTGTTGCTGAAAGCTATCTTTGCTTTCGAATGCGATGTTTCCACATATTTATTCTGACTTTTTTAAAAAGTAAAAATCGATCAAGCAAGTAACTGATAATTGTATCCTTAACGAAGAATCAATTGAGAAAATGGAATTTGTAATATTTCTAGGGATTTCGTTTAGTTAACTAGCTTGTGCAGCTGTAACCACGTACTGGCTCTCCCTGTGCCAAGAATGTGCTCTGCTGAAAGTCAAAACAAGAATATCAGGACATCACATTTAAAATGGGTTTGCTTTGGATTCTGTCGCTGACAAAGAGGACAAACTAATGGAAACCAAGGGCAAGACTACTTGTCCACTGTGGAAGAGTAGCTAGCTAGATAGATAAGTTAGCTTCTAGTTCCTGATATATAGCTAGCAAGAAGCTTCTCTAAGGTAAACATAATTATTACAAATTATCACTGGCCTGAAGTCAACAATCATTTATTAATCAAATAAATCTTCATAACAACAACTGAATGAAATGTTGTTTTGAATGTCTTTCTTAGGCAAGATGAGTGGTCATTCTGGTCAAAGTCCTGTGGCCGTCGACAGCAATGGCATTACTCCATTTGAACAGATGTTGGCTTCCTGCTCATGGGCTCTCCTGACGTCATTGTTCGGTGAGCACTGGGACACGGGAACCCTCACCTACACACACGTACACTGACTATATATATATATATATATATATATATATATATGGTGTAACTCAGTTGGTGGCTCAGTTGGTAGAGCATGGCATTTGCAACGCCAGGGTTGTGGGTTCGATTCCAGTATAAAAAATAAAAATGTATGCACTCACTAACTGTAAGTCGCTCTGGATAAGAGCGTCTGCTAAATGACTAAAATGTAAAATGTAACTATTATAGTTAAATATTTGTCCCCTGTAGCTCAGTTGGTAGAGCATGGCGCTTGCAACGCGAGGGTTGTGGGTTCGTTTCCCACGGGGGGCCAGTATGCACTCACTAACTGTAAGTCGCTCTGGATAAGAGCGTCTGCTAAATTACTAAAATGTAAATATTTAAACTGGTTGTACAACTGTCTTTTTTCAGTCACACCTCTGGATGTTGTCAAGATCAGACTCCAGGCTCAGAAAAGTCCCTTTCCCAAAGGTAATAAGACACAACAATCAATGTAACCTACCATTCCTCTGGCCTCTCTAAACCACAGTGCTCAATCCATTCTGTTTGTCTTCCATTGTTCTCCAGGGAAATGCTTTGTGTACTGCAACGGCCTGATGGACCATACCTGTGTGTGTACGAACGGAAACTCCAAGGCCTGGTACAAGGCCGCTGGCCACTTCAACGGCACTCTGGTAAACACCTCTACCCAACTCCCAACCAACCCCCATGTAGATATGCAAGGATTGGGTTGGTGTGTATCGTGTGCAATATTCCCACGGGGGGCCAGTACAAAAAATTAATAAATATATATATATATATATATAAAAGAATAATGTATGCACTCACTAACTGTAAGTCGCTCTGGATAAGAGCGTCTGCTAAATGACTAAAATGTAAATATAAAATGTAATGGTGAAAATTCTGTATAGCCTATCAGAGGGAAACATTGAGATATTACAATATTGCTCATTCCTTACAGATCTGCACAAGTGGCCAAGGGTTAGAAGCTATGGGTGGGGTGGGACTAGGGCTGTTACGGTGACCATATTACCGCCACACCGGCGGTCACGGGTCATGACGGCAGTCAAATTCCACATGACCGTTTAGTCATGGTAATTATGCTTCTCCAAGCTCTGATGCTGCTGATGGTCATTAGTAGCCTACCAAACTTGCTAACTGCCTGGTACTCAGCAATCTAGTGTCCCTCTAATCACTCTGACATCAATGCAAATGAAAACGAAAATCTAATCAAACACTTAATGAGAGCACATGAGCTCATGTTGTGCAACATTTCTATAGGCTATGCAATTTCGTGAGAAAACAGAGTGATGGCCTCTTTTAAAAAGATGAAGATCCCATCAGCTTTCTATGGGCTAGGCCTACTATATTTATTTCTCAACTTTCCTAATATTAAGCACATTGCCTCTCTTTACAACAGGAGTATAGCCTATCTGGCTGGCAGGAAAATAAACCACAGGAATAGCGTCCTCCATTTGCTATTTAAGTGCATAGATGACAAGTATTTGTGCATGATAATGGTGCATTCTAAATCAGAACAAATTTCACACATATATCATTTAGTACATGTAAAGACGAGATTAAATCAAGAATAGTCTGATGGTTGACAATATTAGCCTATCACTTGTGAATGATATAATATCACTTGTGAATGATGCCCAGCTTAAGGCAACAAACAGTGCATGCCTTTTTTTGCGACTTTTTAAAATCATAGTCGCACACCTCATGTAGCCTAGCCCATAGGCCTATATGTTTTGATAAGGTTTGTTTCACAACTAAAGTGGCCAAATAACTTCTTAAAATTAAGCACATTAATCCGCTTTATAACGCTTTACAACGGGTGTAGAGCCTAACTGGCTCATGTTTGGGGAAGATAATTTTCACCATAAAAATCCACCTTTATAATAAAAGCATCACATGCATAATCGCATTTGCGGTCACTTTTGAGATTGGTGTTTTCCTGCTAATGGAACATTCGCGCTTAAAGCCTACTGCCGTGTGCGCATTGCTGCACTTATAATGTGAAGAAATAGCCTAATAGTTTATAAACATTTTAAGCTAAACGTTCTGATCTGTTGCGTCAGCCTCATTACTTAAACCATTTTTTTGGATGCTAGTGGTTGTATTAATTTGGGATCAATCGCATCCCACAACTGTCCCAGACTAAGTTTGGAATATTTATTTCCTGCACAGAATAGAATAGGTCAACTTTGGGGGATAGTAGATTGACATAGGCTAGTGCTTTTGCTGTTCGTTAGGCCTACTCATCTTGTTGGCTGATGAAAAGTAAATGTGGACAGTTATTCCAATATCTTCAATATGCCCCTCGGAATTAGATAAGGACGCATACAGTTGCGTCCCCGATGTGTCTGTCTTCACTTGTAATCTGTGAGAAAGACCCGATCACGTGACTGAGAACCATGTGAGTGAGAGGAGCTTCGGAGTGCGCAGCCGGGAGAAGGGAATTATAATTATTATATTCAGCCCAAGGGCACAACAGCCACTGGCCGCAAAAAGCATGGATTTATTTAGGGGGCATTACAGCCACACAAAAGGGATGCCACTGGGAAATTCGAGGCATTATCAAGTGCTTGTCAAATTGTGAATGAGAGACTGATGAAGTGTGTACAACCTGCGCAAAAAAACAAAGCAGAGCTCATGCCTTTCATGCGACTTTTTCCTAATCATAATTAGAGTCACTCCATGCAGCCTTAGAATGTATTAAAAATCAAAACATATAGCCCAACGTTTGTTACATAAATAACTCTATAAATGTGTTTACATAAACGTACATAAATGTGTTTATGTTAATTAACGGTTAATTACCGTGAGTTGGCAGTTATTTGCTTCACAATCACCGGATGACAAAATGTCATGACCGCCACAGCCCTAGGTGGGACTTGGCACCAGCCTTAAGTGATGGACCCATCGAAAGCTAACCACAAGCATTATTAACATGTATAAAGGTTCGGACACACCGATAGCATTTGCCTGCCGAGAGTATTTAGCTCCTCTGAACAGAGTGCCGGCTGTAATTTGCGAACCGATTTTACATGTAGAATCACACAAAAATGTTGGCAGTTAGACATCAACAGCGTGCTGAACAAATGGTAGACGAATGGGAGATCCACATTCGGTGCGACCCTTAAGTGTTTATAAACATGTACATCAGTATCATGCATTAGTTCTTTATCTCTGGTTCTTTAACCCTCTCTCTGCAGGATGCCTTTATTAAGATAGTCCGCAGGGAAGGGATCAGGTCATTATGGAGCGGCCTCCCTCCAACCCTGTGAGTCTGAAGTCTGCTGTTTCTCTGCCTCATTACTAATTCACACTGCTTACTCTCCTTCAGCACTGATTTATGGTCAGCTGTGTCTTGAGTGGCTGGCCCGCTGTGATTCAGCAGACTCATAGTCTATTGATAATTCATTTATTTACATTTACGTTCCCATTAAGTTCTGCTCATTTGTATTGAGCAGTACGGATGGACACTGTGATTTTGTAAACTCAGGGTTTATCGATATTTGATTTGTTAAAGTTTTTTTTTAAATCTCTCAGGCATGGATTTGTGTCTGAGTGGTGTGGTAACAGCTGATGCTGAGTCATGGGCTGTTGATGATTCATTTGGGAACATTTTATTTGTGCCCATTGCTTGTACCCATCTGATTTGTGTCTGATATGATAAAAGCAGATTTATTTTATTCATTGTTTATGGATATTTCATATATGGATGTTGTTTCCTGTTTGTAATGCCTGATTTTTATGAGTCATGGGTCTTTGACGATTCATGAGGAAACATTAGATTTGCATCTCTGATGTATGTTAATGATTCTTGCAGTATCATGGCGGTCCCGGCGACGGTAATCTACTTCACGTGTTACGACCAACTGCATGCAGACATTGTGTTGTCTATGCATTAGAAAGACCTTAGTAACCCAACTGCTGCTTCCTATCCTAGACTATAGTCATATCATCTATCAAAACACAACCAAGACCGTACTTTGCGAATTAGATGTCATTTATAACTATGTCATTTAGCAGACACTCTTATTACATTTACATTTTAGTCATTTAGCAGACGCTCTTATCCAGAGCGACTTATAGTTAGTGAGTGCATACATGATATTTTTTCATACTGGCCCCCCGTGGGAATCGAACCCACAACCCTGGCGTTGCAAACGCCATGCTCTACCAACTGAGCTACATCCCTGCCGGCCATTCCCTCCCCTACCCTGGACGACCCTGGGCCAATTGTGCGCCGCCCCATGGGTCTCCCGGTCGCGGCCGGCTACGACAGAGCGACTTACAGGAGCAATTAGGGTTAAGTGCCTTGCTCAAGGGCACATCGACAGATTTTTCACCTAATCGGCTCGGGGATTAGAACCAGCGACCTTTCGGTTACTGGCACAACGCTCTTAACCACTAAGCTACCTGCTGCCCCGGCAGATTCATTTTTGGATGCCATTATAAGACATAATTGAACAATGTCTGAATCACTAAATTAGCTGTCACTCCCAAACAGAAGAAAACTGCATTGGTACCAGTTCCTTTTAAAATGTATCAACTAAAATGTCCCTGTATATATTAAGGAACACCTAACTTTACAAAACACACACTGCTCCTTTCGACAACGGCAGCAATTACAAATACCAAGGGGGTTGGAATAAGATCTTTCAGATACAACGGCCCAACTGGAATCATTTACCTATAGAAATCAGGCCATTCTAATCACACAGTGAATTTACGAAAGCCCTTTTTCAAATGTTAAGAACAAACTGTTTGTGTTTTTAACTAATAGAAACATCACCATGTGAGGATATTTGTAAATATGTATGTATACAGTATATTGTAGGTACTTAGTTGTATTAGTAGTTGTAGCAGTAGTTTTTATTAGTTATAAGCCTATTAGTAGTTGTACAACAACCTTTTATGCTGTTAATGTAATTGTATTTTATTTTATTATCATTATAATTATTTAATTGTTATTATTATTAGACAGTAGTTGCCATATTGTTCTTCTTACTAAGTACTTTAATTAAAAAAAAATATATATATATTGGGACACTTGAAAACTAGATGGTGCATCTCAAGAGATTTCATCCTGCAAAATGTCAAATAAATGTGGAAACTACAGACCTCCTTTTCATGTGAGAAAGAAATGTATGTGTTTAACTGCTCTGTTTATCTGCTCTTTCAGCCTGTAGTGCTTATAAGTGTTTTCTCTCTCTCTTTCTCTCTGTCTCTCTGTGAGTCAGTGGGCTCTGTGACAGTGATCAGTCCGTTGGAGCTGATCCGTACTAAGATGCAGGCCCAGAGACATTCGTACAGGGAGCTGAGTGAGGTTATCTGCTCTGCAGTACGCAACGAGGGCTGGCGGTCTCTCTGGAGGGGCTGGGGACCCACACTGCTTAGAGACGTCCCCTTCTCAGGTGGACACAACACAATGTCTATAACTATATCTCTATCTCTCTCAGGTGGACACAACACAATGTCTATAAATATATCTCTCTATCTCTCTCAGGTGGACACAACACAATGTCTACAAATATATCTCTCTATCTCTCAGGTGGACACAACACAATGTCTATAAATATATCTCTCTATCTCTCAGGTGGACACGACACAATGTCTATAAATATATCACTATCTCTCATGTAGACACAACACAATGTCTATAAATATATCTCTCTATCTCTCAGGTAGACACAACACAATGTCTATAAATATATCTCTCTATCTCTCAGGTAGACACAACACAATGTCTATAAATATATCTCTCTATCTCTCAGGTAGACACAACACAATGTCTATAACTATATCTCTATCTCTCTCAGGTAGACACAACACAATGTCTATAACTATATCTCTATCTCTCAGGTAGACACAACACAATGTCTATTTTTCTATATCTCTCAGGTATACAACACCATCTATGTCTCTCTCTCTCCCTCTCTCTAGCTTTCTCTCTCTAACTCTCTCTCGCTCGCTCTCTCTCTGTAGCGCTCTAGCTCTCTCTCCTTCTCCTTGTCTCTACCTCTCTGTTCTCTCTCCTTCTCTCTAGCTTTCTCTCTTTCCCTCTTTCTCGCTCTCTGTCTCTCTCTCTCTCCCTCTCCTTGTCTCTAGCTCCCTGTTCTCTCTCCCTCTCTCTAGCTTTCTCGCTCTCTCGCTCTCTCTCGCTCTCTAGCTCTCTCTCAAGCTCTCTCTCTCTCCCTCTCCTTGTATCTAGCTCCCTGTTCTCTCTCCCTCTCTCTAGCTTTCTCTCTTTCTCACTCTCTCCTCTCTCTCTCTCTCTCTCTCTCTCTCCCTCTCTCTCATTCTCTCTCGTCCTCTCTCTCCTCTCTCCTCGTCTCTCTCTCTCTCTTCTCTCTCTCTCTCTCTCTCTCTCTCCTCTCTCCTCTCTCTCTCGTCTCTCTCTCTCTCCTTCTCTCTAACTGTCTCTTAGTGTCTGTCTGATAACAGGAGTTGCATGTTGTGTGTTTCCTCCTCAGCCATGTACTGGTATAACTATGAGAAGGGGAAGGTGTGGCTGTGTAAGCACAACAACATCAGAGAGCCAACGTTTGCCATCACCTTCATATCCGGAGCAGTGTCTGGATCAGTGAGTATTCTAGCTTCCCTCTCAGCTCAACTCAAACGGTTCTGTCTAGTAGAGCACCTAGATATATTGAACATAGAATATCTGATATAGCTTTTTGTACCTTTCTAATGGTATTCAAGCTCTATAACTCTTCTTCTCTGCTGACATGGTGTTATTCCATCTAAAACTGCTGGAGGGCAGCATTGTCAAATATAAGTGTGATTTCTAACCCTTGTTTATGCTGTCTGGTCTTCCTCCAGATCGCTTCCATAGTAACGCTGCCCTTCGACGTAGTGAAGACCAGGAGGCAGGTGGAGATAGGGGAACTCCAGGCTATGAATTGTGGGTATAGAACTCCAGGCTGATCACCTGATTCATGGAATCATCCTTGTGATGTGTTGATGTGTAGTGATCCTGTACTCGTGTGTCTCTGCAGTGTCGTCCAAGGCCTCCTCCTCCACTCTCAGTGTGATGACCAAGATTGTGGCTGAGAACGGCGTGGGTGGACTGTTTGTAGGTAGGTCAGGTTACAGGGATAGTTCACCCAAAACACACAGTTACCTCAGGTTAGTCTCCTAACTTATCACCTTCTTTCTATCCTTATCCCCCTCTCCTCCACCCCTCTCTCCCCCCCTTTCACTCCCCCTCTCCTCCCCCCTCTCTCTCCCCCCTTTCACTCCCCCTCTCCTCCACCCCTCTCTCTCCCCCCTTTCACTCCCTCTCTCTCCCCCCCCACTCCCTCTCTCTCCCCCCCTTCTCCCCCTCTCTCTCCTCTCCCCCCTTTCCTCTCCTCTCCTCCTCCTCCACCCCTCTCTCTCCCCCCGTCTCCACTCTCACTCCCTCCCTCCCCACCCCTCTCCCCTCCCTTTCACCCCCATCCCCTCTCCTCCACCCCTCTCTCCCCCCTTTCATCCTCGCCTCTCCTCCACCCCTCCTCTCCCCCCTCCCCCCCTCTCTCCCCCTCCCTTCCCCCCTCTCCTCCACTCTCTCTCCCCCTTTCATCCCCCCCCCTCCCCTCCCCTTCACTCCCTCTCTCCCCACCTCCCTCTCCCCCCTTTCACGCTCTCTCTCCTCCACCCCCCTCTCTCTCTCCCCCCTTTCCCTCCCCCCTCTCTCCCCCTCTGCCACCCCTCTCCTCCTCCCCCCCCCCCCCCTTTCCCCTCCCACTCCCCTCTCTCCCTCTCTCCTCCACCCCTCTCTCCCCCCTTTCACTCCCTCTCTCCTCCACCCCTCTCTCTCTCCCCGCTTCCCTTCCCCTCTCTCCTCCCCCCCTCTCTCCCCCCTTTCACTCCCTCTCCTCCCCCCTCTCTCATCCCCCCTTTCACTCCTCTCCTCCTCCACCACCCCCGCTCTCTCCCCCCTTTCACTCCCTCTCCCTCCACCCCTCTCTCTCCCCGCTTTCACTCCCTCTCCTACTTCTCTCTCTCTCCCAGGTTTCCTCCCCAGGGTGATCAAGGTGGCCCCAGCCTGTGCCATTATGATCAGCTGTTATGAGTTTGGGAAGGCCTTCTTCCGCAAGCACAACCAGGAGAGGCTGCTGACCAGCAACACCTGACCTGACTAGGGCCTCTCACACACACAGACCAAAACCATAGACAATACCAAGAACAGAATCAGCCATCGCCAACAGCAGGTATTGGCTACCTGTACATTTCCCTGGGTTCTTAGAGATTTTCAGGCGTAGCATTGCTTGCCTGTGTCCTCTCAGCTGCTTAGACACTCCAACACCCCCTCACTGTTATAAAGTGTTCAAGTGTGTGATGTCATGTGACTAGCTGGATGTAGCTAATGTTGGCGTTTAGGACCTAAGAACGCCAGGACGTGATTCTGTTCCAAAGCAGGAAATACTGGCAGACATGAAAACAAAATGGAAGACAAATAGTTGTAGGTATCAACATTATTCATATTTTATCTTATATTTCTCAATCAAGGTATACTGCACTTAACTACCATACTAATTGTGACAAGAGAAAATAGCAAAAGTGCACAAATTGTATTTTAAATATATAGTTATTTGCCAAATCATGAAGGTATTAGCATTTTGATAATTACTTAAAAATAATTTGCGTAATGTTTTTCCTCTTTTTCCTCCGCATTTAATACACTGGCCTGTAGGTGGTATCAGAGACTTGTCTGGAACCAGAAACTGGGGATTCCTATTGGACAAGTAATACCACCTCTGTTTCAAAATGTTTTATCCCATTACGTTAGTTGTTGAGGTATGGGGTTGTGTGCACTGTGTCATCCGGGGTCTGACCGTAATAAAAATCATTTGATGGATGTTTATGTTTGTCCTGTTTCAAACATGTATACGTTTGTATTATACGCATGTGTGAAATGGGGAAATTTGTTTTTTGCATATCCCGACTTCTCCTGAGACAACCTCGGAGAGTGGAGTCAGGGACAGTAGAGATGAGTGTCAAAGCTTTGGATAAGGCGGGATAACTTCTGGTTCGTAGTCTCTGTCCCATAGAATCCCCTCTCATTCCCTACCACTTTCTATCAGGCTCTATCTCAATTCATAACCCGAGCCGACTAGGTGAAAAATCTGTCGATGTGCCCTTGAGCAAGGCACTTAACCCTAATTGCTCATGTAAGTCGCTCTGGATAAGAGCGTCTGCTAAATGACTAAAAAATATCACCTCATTCTCAATCGTGTTGGAAGAGAAGGTCCAAGGTCCTTCAGGATAAATGTTATGTTCAGTGCCAGACTGCCAGTTTAAATAATTGTATTACCTGAAATTCAACTCTTAACTTCCACCTCTTCCAGAATCCCATTTTCAACCCCCACTCAGCCAGACATGGACTATGAACTGTGACAAGCTGTACATGTTCTCTAAACATGTATCAATGATAGATATTTATATTGTTTTAATATATTCTACAGTGATCACCTGCAGTGACACGTTTTCTTTCTTTGTACAGAAATACATAGAGAATAAAAGTAACATTTTGAATTGTTTAATCAATTGTTTTTATTGGATCAGCAAAGTTTTGTGAATGCATTTTGTTCGATCCATTCGTTTTCTGTTGTTAACATATAATCATTCATATGATAATACAATTAATAATTTAATCCTGTTGAACAAATCTAAATCACGGAGGTAGTGGTTCCTTCCACAGTGTCAGTGCACAACAACAACTGATCAAGTTAAAAGGAAGAAGAGCTGACGTGGGGAGGTATAACATGCTGTTCCACTGTTACAGAGGCTTTCCCTGGTAAGATCCTAGCAGGGTAGAGATCACTGCCAATATTGATGTATGGAAACACTCTCTCGGTAAAAGTGTGTGAACGTGTGTAGGTGTGTGTTATTATCAAGGTCATAAAAGGACAGTGTTTCTCTGTCCCAGTCCAGCTGCACTCTAATCCTCTGGGGTTTCCTTTCCAGTGTTAGGACAGTCTGTGGCCCTTTTGGACAACGTGCACAGTATTTATCATTATAATAACCTACACGCCAGAGTCCAGTCTGTACCACTCCCTTCCTCTGGACAGACATATAGACTACACCTACAAACCATACTGTATTGTCCCCGACGTCTGTGTCCCAACTGTGTGTCCCGGAGTCAAAGCCCTCAGAGCCTAGGACCATGCGATAGTTATCAAACCTCTCTGGGTTGTCAGGAAGCAGCCGTATCCCATCACTGAATCTCATACTGGTCAGATCGTCAGACAGGATGAGACATGGATGGGCAGTGTTAGGGTCCAGAATCACAGGAGCTGAACAGAGAAAAAGAGAGACATTTTTAAAACCAGATAACCACTGTTTGTTTAATTTACTGGGAGATTATTGATATTTTTCTTTGTCTGAAATTGTCTGAATGCAATTTACTATTTTTTGTGAAGATATGAACATTGGTAAGAATAAAATCAGACTCACTGTATTGAACAGACTTCAGCATCTTCTCCAAAACTCTGAACGGCAGGTTGCCCAGGTGCTTTGCCACATCGATCAGCGCTCCTGAAACAAGCTCTGGATCTGGCCTTGTGCACTGGGCTCTAGAATAACATTCAGGAGTTAGTGATACGGTGGGGTTCAGAACCACAGGGAAGAGCGAGAGAAGAGGCCCGTCACTTAGGGTTAGGGACATAGCCTTACCTTTTTTACGTGTCTTTGTAGTTCTGCAGGAGAACAAAAGAGCAAATAAATCAATAATAAATGTAATCACTGAAATCAATCATATCAGTTAATCAATAAATGTATCCCAAATAAATTATAGACAACACAGAGATATTGGTCCTTACCTGCAGGAATGAGATGTCATCAGATACCAGGTCCTTCTTTATGGCTCTCATTGTGTCTAAAATGGCTGCCATCTCTCTGTTCATATCGTCAATCCTCTTCTTCATCCTTCGACCCTTCTCTTCCTCTTCCTCCCTTAGGACCACTATCCTGGCTGCCTCTTCATATCGTAGAAACTGGTGAAGTTTCTCAAAGTCCTCCTGAATCTGCTTTTCTGTCTGCTGGGCCTGGCTCTGGAGACAGTTAGTGTTATCATCATCATCAGGCATTACACTGTAATTCATATCAATCTGAAAAGCTTTTCAAAACACACAGTACTGTTAAAGAGGCAGTTTGGAACTTTAGTTGCTTATTGTTTACACAATGTTGGCTTGAGTGTTGCCTGTATGGTTCATATGCCCATGATATAACAATCAATTTCTAGACTCATAAAACCACACAATCTTTAGTATAAGGCTTTTGCTCATAGTCATGGGAAGGTGTACCCCTTTCTGTCCAATTAGGTCATTTCTGGGCAATATTTATGTCCATTTATGGGACCCCTTTTGGCTCAAGCCAAATGCAAAAAAAAATCATTCTGATACACTTTTCATATGCATATTGCATTGTAACATTACAAGGCTGTCTTACCTTAATAAGCTCTGCCGTTTCTTCAAAGCTTTGTTTAACTTCTTTAAATCCCTCCAGCTGCTCCTCTAAGGGCTTCAGGCCAGTCTCTAAGAGCTCCTCCTACAATTCATTTTTCTCATTTACTTGTGTCCTCAATGATTGCATACAAAATTGGTTGGATTTATGAGAACGTAACATTTTTCTATCAATCTAAACAAAACAAGGCTTGCTTTCCAAAGAGAACATCAAGGTTGTACAGGTACGACGGGGTAGCTGGGTATGATAAGGAACTCTTCTGCACTAGACATTTGCTAGGAGGGAATGATCCTGTTATAGTGAATGTACTGTACAGTGGGGGAAAAAAAGTATTTAGTCAGCCACCAATTGTGCAAGTTCTCCCACTTAAAAAGATGAGAGAGGCCTGTAATTTTCATCATAGGTACACGTCAACTATGACAGACAAATTGAGAAAAAGAAATCCAGAAAATCACATTGTAGGATTTTTAATGAATTTATTTGCAAATTATGGTGGAAAATAAGTATTTGGTCACCTACAAACAAGCAAGATTTCTGGCTCTCACAGACCTGTAACTTCTTCTTTAAGAGGCTCCTCTGTCCTCCACTCGTTACCTGTATTAAAGGCACCTGTTTGAACTTGTTATCAGTATAAAAGACACCTGTCCACAACCTCAAACAGTCACACTCCAAACTCCACTATGGCCAAGACCAAAGAGCTGTCAAAGGACACCAGAAACAAAATTGTAGACCTGCACCAGGCTGGGAAGACTGAATCTGCAATAGGTAAGCAGCTTGGTTTGAAGAAATCAACTGTGGGAGCAATTATTAGGAAATGGAAGACATACAAGACCACTGATAATCTCCCTCGATCTGGGGCTCCACGCAAGATCTCACCCCGTGGGGTCAAAATGAACACAAGAACGGTGAGCAAAAATCCCAGAACCACACGGGGGGACCTAGTGAATGACCTGCAGAGAGCTGGGACCAAAGTAACAAAGCCTACCATCAGTAACACACTACACCGCCAGGGACTCAAATCCTGCAGTGCCAGACGTGTCCCCCTGCTTAAGCCAGTACATGTCCAGGCCCGTCTGAAGTTTGCTAGAGTGCATTTGGATGATCCAGAAGAGGATTGGGAGAATGTCATATGGTCAGATGAAACCAAAATATAACTTTTTGGTAAAAACTCAACTCGTCGTGTTTGTAGGACAAAGAATGCTGAGTTGCATCCAAAGAACACCATACCTACTGTGAAGCATGGGGGTGGAAACATCATGCTTTGGGGCTGTTTTTCTGCAAAGGGACCAGGACGACTGATCCGTGTAAAGGAGAGAATGAATGGGGCCATGTATCGTGAGATTTTGAGTGAAAACCTCCTTCCATCAGCAAGGGCATTGAAGATGAAACGTGGCTGGGTCTTTCAGCATGACAATGATCCCAAACACACCACCCGGGCAACGAAGGAGTGGCTTCATAAGAAGCATTTCAAGGTCCTGGAGTGGCCTAGCCAGTCTCCAGATCTCAACCCCATAGAAAATCTTTGGAGGGAGTTGAAAGTCTGTGTTGCCCAGCGACAGCCCCAAAACATCACTGCTCTAGAGGAGATCTGCATGGAGGAATGGGCCAAAATACCAGCAACAGTGTGTGAAAACCTTGTGAAGACTTACAGAAAACGTTTGACCTGTGTCATTGCCAACAAAGGGTATATAACAAAGTATTGAGAAACTTTTGTTATTGACCAAATACTTATTTTCCACCATAATTTGCAAATAAATTCATTAAAAATCCTACAATGTGATTTTCTGGAAAAGAACTTGCACAATTGGTGGCTTACTAAATACTTTTCCCCCCCCCACTGTATCTCATCCACAATCCGTTTGGATTTAACCATACAGTATTATGTGTTATGTTATCATTATGCATCATAAAGGGTTTATTGTGTTCTCAAGAAATGTTTCCTGTCCAACAGGGTTACGTTGAACAGGTTGGTTAGGTTGAACAGGTTGGTTAGGTTGAACAGGTTGGTTAGGTTGAATATAAGTCTGTATTGGGGTTGACTATTTTGAGATTTATTTTGATCAGAGGCATGTGGGGAGAGTGTTCATGGTGTGTTCTGGATCTCTGTCTCACTCACTCACACACACAATTAATTGTATTGTGATTTTGCACATAGATTTATTACTTGGCTGCACATTTGTTATTTTCTCCATTTTGAATAAACTACTGTACGAAACAATATATTTAGAGTCTTGTGCTTTGTTTGAATTATATTTTTCTTGCACAGACAGGTATTCTGTACCAATGTGTATGTTTAGTACAGTATGTGCATTGCCCATGTACACATGTAGATCTCCATGTTATTTTCCCTACTACGCCCCTAGTGTTAGAGCGGGGTGTAATGTTTAACCCAGCAGGCCCCGGTCCAAAATAAAGTCCCTGACAGTAACATTAAACTGGTGTTTTAATTACCTGTTCTGTCACTACATGACTCAAATTAAGCACAGTAAATCACAACTTACTCCAGCTGTAAGACTTCCAGCAGCTACTGATGAGCGCAGTGGTCTAAGGCACTGCATCGCAGTGCTAACTGTGCCACTAGAGATCCTGGTTCGAATCCAGGCTCTGTCGCAGCCGGCCGCGACCGGGAGACTCATGGGCGGCGCACAATTGGCCCAGCGTCGTCCAGGGTAGGGGAGGGAATGGCCGGCAGGGATGTAGCTCAGTTGATAGAGCATGGCGTTTGCAACGCCAGGGTTGTGGGTTCGATTCCCACGGGGGGGCCAGTATTAAAAAAAAGATGTATTTACTAACTGTAAGTCGCTCTGGATAAGAGAGTCTGCTAAATGACTAAAATGTAAATGTAATGTAAATGAGCAGGAGGAAGCTCCAGCAACACGGATATTTAAATCCCTGCTCACTAAACAAGACTAATACAAACAGCTGAGAAAACCAGAGACTGATATTTTATTTTTAGAAAATGGCTTATAGATTTCTCTACCCCCACAACAAGCTGCTGATTAAGTCTTGAAATTGAAAGTAATCTCACTCCAAATGCCATTGGAGAGTGTGAAAATGGCTTCCGAGGCGTCTGTCCCAGAGAAGGATCTCTCCTGTCCTGTGTGCTCTGAAACCCTCAAGGATCCTGTCCTCCTGTCCTGTGGCCATAGCTGCTGTACAGGCTGTCTGGAGTCATACTGGAAACAGATGGAATCATGGGAATGTCTAGTGTGCAGGATAAAATGCTATAAGGATTCGATCGACCTTGCTCTGAAGAACCTGTGTATGCCGGGTGAGAAAGTTTCAGATACAAAACATGTCTGCAGTCTGCACAGCAAGCTACTCACACTGTTCTGTCTGGAGCATGAAGAGCCTATCTGTTCGGTGTGCGAGGGTTCAAGTAAACATAAAACACATGAGTGTATCCCAGTAGATGAGGCTGCTCTGGATTGCAAGTGGGGGAAAAAAGTATTTAGTCAGCCACCAATTGTGCAAGTTCTCCCACTTAAAAAGATGAGAGGCCGGTAATTTTCATCATAGGTACACGTCAACTATTACAGACAAAATGAGGGAAAAAAAATCCAGAACATCACATTGTAGGATTTTTAATGAATTTATTTGCAAATTATGGTGGAAAATAAGTATTTTGTCAATAACAAAAGTTTCTCAATACTTTGTTATATACCCTTTGTTGGCAATGACACAGGTCAAACGTTTTCTGTAAGTCTTCACAAGGTTTTCACACACTGTTGCTGGTATTTTGGCCCATTCCTCCATGCAGATCTCCTCTAGAGCAGTGATGTTTTGGGGCTGTCGCTGGGCAACACAGACTTTCAACTCCCTCCAAAGATTTTCTATGGGGTTGAGATCTGGAGACTGGCTAGGCCACTCCAGGACCTTGAAATGCTTCTTACGAAGCCACTCCTTCGTTGCTCGGGCGGTGTGTTTGGGATCATTGTCATGCTGAAAGACCCAGCCACGTTTCATCTTCAATGCCCTTGCTGATGGAAGGAGGTTTTCACTCAAAATCTCACGATACATGGCCCCATTCATTCTCTCCTTTACACGGATCAGTCGTCCTGGTCCCTTTGCAGAAAAACAGCCCCAAAGCATGATGTTTCCACCCCCATGCTTCACAGTAGGTATGGTGTTCTTTGGATGCAACTCAGCATTCTTTGTCCTCCAAACACGACGAGTTGAGTTTTTACCAAAAAGTTATATTTTGGTTTCATCTGACCATATGACATTCTCCCAATCCTCTTCTGGATCATCCAAATGCACTCTAGCAAACTTCAGACGGGCCTGGACATGTACTGGCTTAAGCAGGGGGACACGTCTGGCACTGCAGGATTTGAGTCCCTGGCGGCGTAGTGTGTTACTGATGGTAGGCTTTGTTACTTTGGTCCCAGCTCTCTGCAGGTCATTCACTAGGTCCCCCCGTGTGGTTCTGGGATTTTTGCTCACCGTTCTTGTGATCATTTTGACCCCACAAGGGAGATTATCAGTGGTCTTGTATGTCTTCCATTTCCTGATAATTGCTCCCACAGTTGATTTCTTCAAACCAAGCTGCTTACCTATTGCAGATTCAGTCTTCCCAGCCTGGTGCAGGTCTACAATTGTTTTTCTGGTGTCCTTTGACAGCTCTTTGGTCTTGGCCATAGTGGAGTTTGGAGTGTGATTGTTTGAGGTTGCGGACAGGTGTATTTTATACTGATAACAAGTTCAAACAGGTGCCATTAATACAGGTAACGAGTGGAGGACAGAGGAGCCTCTTAAAGAAGAAGTTACAGGTCTGTGAGAGACAGAAATCTTGCTTGTTTGTAGGTGACCAAATACTTATTTTCCACCATAATTTGCAAATAAATTCATTAAAGATCCTACAATGTGATTTTCTGGAGAAAAAAAATCTAATTTTGTCTGTCATAGTTGACGTGTACCTATGATGAAAATTACAGGCCTCTCTCATATTTTTAAGTGGGAGAACTTGCACAATTGGTAGCTGACCAGGGGCGGTGTGTTCAATAGGGCGATATGGGCGACGCACTGCCAAACGGGAAAAGGAAGGGATTTTTTTTCTAATCAATTATATCACGGCAACAGTAGTTATCAGTGTTGTAATGTCCAATCAGGCTAAAGTCGTGCTTCAAATGGCTCCCCCCCCTTTTGGGGCGATTTCAGTCAGGTTGAAAATCGCCCAGAAGTCTGTCATAGACTCCCATGTAAAATCTATTTTTTTCAAATTTCAGAGCTTTCAATACAATCTCTATGGGTGTCTGAGGGCTTGCACTTACGCGCTTTCGTCATACGTAACGTAACCATGAACGTAACTAAGAAAAGAGCGGATTGTGTCTTTGAAAGAAGTTCCTTTTTGTCGGCGAACAAATGAAGATAAATTGGCAACGAAACAATTAGGACCTCCCAGACCAAATTTAATAATTCAACAGGTTTCTACTAAAGGCGGAAAGTCCTACACCCGAGGATTTTCCAAAAATTGGTACGAACGAAAAAATAACATTGCCACTCAACTGGATGAGGGATACAGGCTAGCTGTCCGCCGCCACAACGATGAGGTTAGTGTTGATAATCACAAGTTTACTGGAGAACTGAGACCAAGTAGAGACTTTGGACAGGGTGGATATGGTATAATAAAGGCAGTTTATTCAGAGGTAAAGATATCTGGAATCGCGTGCACGGACCCGTTCGTCAAACTCTTAGGGAGCTATACATTAAGCCCCATTACTTACCATATCAGATAAGAGAAATTGCTGCAGCTACATATATTTTACATCCTGGCCCTACATAGTTCACTATTTGCATCACTTACCAAAATATTACATGTGGTCATATATGCTTGGAAAGTGGAGATGCCATAGAACGTCAAAAAAGTAAACATTGCTGGAGACACATTGCCGTTTTGGAGAAGACATCGCGTTTGCTAGCGAAGAGATTTGTTGTGGCAAATGAACTTGGGCTGGGAATTGCCAGGAACCTCACGATAAGATATATGCATTGCGAGTCTCATGATTCTATACGTATTGCGATTCGATACTGTGATTTTATTGCGCACCATATGTCTGTTGCAGAGGGATCAGAAAGCCATGAGAACGAGTTTTGATCAGTCATGGAAATAAAAGTGCTGAAAACAAATTGGCTCCCAATGTGAAAAGATTGAGAACAAGCTATGAAGGAACAATAATGGTGTTTTGGTGCAGGTACAGCCAACTAGCGCTAAAATATTGCGATATTGTCAATACAGTATATCGTAAAGTATCACTATGTAACTCGATTTCTTTCACCCCAATCCCTCAAATTAACGGTAAATAACTGAATTGTTTGCCCCACATTTAGCTAAGATGATTAGCTAGCCAGCTAAAATGTTTTATTTAGTTAGCAGTCGCATCTACAATAGTTTACTGTCAATAACATGTCTCCAAAAATGACGTGGTGTCTCCAATTGTGTTGACATTTTACAATTGCGATGCGCATCCATGAGTATCCACTTTCTGTAGCTCAGCTGGTAGAGCACGGCGCTTGTAACGCCAAGGTAGTGGGTTCGATCCCCGGGACCACCCATACACAAAAATGTATGCACGCATGACTGTAAGTCGCTTTGGATAAAAGCGTCTGCTAAATGGCATATTATTATTATTATTATTATTATCTGAAGAGAGCCCCGAAACATTGTGTGCAGACATTTTATGCAATAAATGAAGTAGGTTGAATCTAGTAGTTCTGATCTTCTGATTGGTCCTGATGAGTTGGGCGAGGTCCCCTCCAGGCTACTGTCACTGTTGCATTGGCTCTGAGTCGGGTTCTCTGTCTTCAAATGTTCAGCCTAAGAGAGGGGATTTTTGTGTGTGTGTGTGTGTGTGTGTGTGTTTAACAGTGATGATGTGTGTGTGTGTGTGTTTGTGTGTGTGTGTGTGTGTGTGTGTCCTCAGAGCAAGAACTCGTGAGTTGGAAGAACTGAGAGGCCTATGGCGTGGGTGTTGTCCTTGGCCACCTGCTGACAAGGCTGACAAGATAGGACCCTTTTGTCCATTGTTATTGGATAGGAACAGAACTTATAACCAGCTCCTGACCTAAATAGATCTTAGCACAACATTTTACTCAACATATCATATTCCATATTCACTATAACAAATATATTTACTACGACATTAGCAAGAACCGCCACATCCTCAGCCGGCTAATCCAGTGTGTGAAGTTTTGCGGAGTGTTTGAGTTAGCTTTGCGAGGCAAAGATGAAACTGAGGGCTCCACCAACCCTGGTAAGCCAACACTTTTGAGATCAGTCAATAAATGCTTCTGGTATTGACTTATATGCTGCCCCTGTCTTCATGTTGTTGCTGGACATATCTTTTTTAAAATGTGTGTAGGTCACCTAAATCATCAGAAAAATTGCCCCCCCTGAGAATTTTTTCAGGAGCCGCCACTGTGGCTGACTAAATACTTTTTTCCCCCACTGTACATTCAATGCCATCAATAGTATGATTATGGCTCCAAGTCAGGTACCACAGAGGATGGACCGTAGAAACAGAAGACATAGAAGGAACACGGTTCTCCTCTAGATATTTCGAGGCCCTTCCAACATGGAAGTGTGATTGAGTGACTACACAACACTTATAAATAGTGAGGATGAGGACAGTCCAGTCCTCTGGCAGGAATACAATACCTAAATATGTCCATTCTATGAGATGTATTTCTGTGTCTGCTGAATCTGACCCACCATGGCCATCTATAGTAGAGCTCACTGGAGTTGCCAGGGTAACAGGACAAGAACACCTGCAAGTTGATGAGGCAATGAACAGAACCACTAGTCTACAGGCTTTAACCACCTATGAGAAACAACAAACCCTAACCTTATACCCGCAACACTCCTTACCCCTACCTAAAATATTACCCCTACCTAAACAAATCCTAAAGAAAGCAATTCCTCAAGTTTTGTCAATCTCTGGGATGCTGAACATGTTTACATCATGAGGGGTCCATAACGTTTTATTAGAGGTCAGAGGTCAAAGATACTTCTAACTAAAACACAGAACCATTTGTGGTTCTAGCCATCTTGTGATAGAACACTCTCCCTGCTGGCCAAGGGAAAGACCTCCACTTTAGTGACAACAAAAAGGCTGCATCCCAATAGTGTAAAGTGGCGTTCTCGTCTCTTCTCCTGCACTGATCTGAACACATAAGATAGGTGACAGCAGTATGGCAGATGCCTACCCGGAACTGGCTTTCAACTATGCAGTTGTTTTCCTATCAGTGCAGCTATACAACAAACTAATAAATAAACATGAGGTCGGTCCTGGTCATACAGTCCTGTTTTTTTCAACGGCTCTGCGCTTACATTGAAGGACTGACTACTGAAGCGCTGGTTCCAGGGTCAGTTCGGGTTCTAAATTCCAAATGATTGACTGCGGCTCCCATGTTTTGAGCTCTGTGTTCCTTCTTCAACTCTGAGCTCCTGGATCCAGATTCCAGGTGGTATACTCATAGAAATTCCAATAAATAAATCAATACATCTCTATGCACACAGTTGTCTGATTCTACACCCTGTGTTGTATCTCTGGTAATCTATCAATTGAGCCTGGGAACGAGGTTAGATATCTTGGTTTAGGAGGGGATGGGGTGGAATGTTATTCAAAAGTCTGAGTTCCAATTCCAGATTCCAGGATCCAAATCATCTGGCTCTCTTTCTCCAGGCCATGTGCTGGGTCTCTTGGTCTCTGGTTCTAGGACGGGGTGAGGCCAGGACTGGTTATCTCTGTGGTGGGGCTGACCAGACACTCACTGGACTTCAGGCTGGCCAGAGACTTATAGCTGGCTACTGACTGCAGAGACCCACACAGACCTATCAGAGAGGGGGTGTCCTCCTTCCCTGGGGAGCAAAAGAGGGGGTTAACACACATGCACAAAATAACTATATTATTTATTGGTAGTGGGGGATAGCACAGAAACGCACGCATGCACACACACACACCGTGGTGGTGCCATTGTGAGCTGGCTGGTCTGGTGTCCAGGTTGAGTGTGTGTGAGGGCTCCAGAGAGGTCTGGGACAGACTCATAGCAGCAGACATCTGCTCTAGGCTCTGGAAACTCTTCCTGTAGAACACACACATACATATTAGAGCGGACTCTCTGGATGCATCTCAATAGTCTGACGGCTATACTGGACTAACCATTTGGAATGTTAAAAATCATATTCATGTCACAGCACTTTTCTCACAGGCACAGTATATATATGTATTAATCTACTGTGTCACCACATTTGGGTGGACCGTGTAAAATCATACTATGGTGTGTAAGGAAGTGAGGAAGTTGTGGAATATGAATTAATCCTTGTTTACATACTCCTCCCACTGCCCCACCCTATTCCTGTACAGCATGGTATCCAAGGCAACAGCATTGGTATCCATGGCACCGGGTGAAGGCCACTGATTGGTCAGATGTGCGGTCAGTTCTTGTCTGGACCTCAAGTCATGGTTCTTCAGCACCGTCCTTGAGCAGGATGAAACACACACACACACACACACACACACACACACACACACACACCTCTACTGTCATACACTAGTTCCTCATATTGTGTTCCTGGAACATTCTGTCCCAAAATATGCTACGCAGCCCATTCTCTCTCTCTGCAATCTATTCTCTCCTCACCTTCTCCTTTTCTCTCTCGCTCTACCTTTCCCTCTACCTCGCTCTCTCATCTCTCCCTCTACCTCGCTCTCTCATCTCTCCCTCTACCTCGCTCTCTCATCTCTCCCTCTACCTCGCTCTCTCATCTCTCCCTCTACCTCGCTCTCATCTCTCCCTCTACCTCTCTCTGTTGTGTCTGTAAATCCATACCCCTGACTGATCATTGGTTTGAGAGATGAGACAGCTTTCCAAATGCTGGGGTTGAAACTGCAAAGAAAATCCTCACGGCCCAAATTAAAATATCGATCACAGAGGGTGGAAAGGAAGAGATCAAATTGATCACACCATTCATTTAGAGACTCTCTCATTGATAAACTAACTTCAACCAAACCCAAAGTACCTCCTATGTACACAGGCATTCTGATGACTCACACAGGCCAAGTCATCACACCAAGGTTATTATAGTAAACTAAAACTAATTATGAAAAAACTGTTTAGTTAACTGAAATATAATAATTAAGAAATCAGTTTGAAAAACTAAAACTATACTGAAACTATTATCTTTGACTCCAAAATTTTGAATCTGGCAGCCAACATTGAGATTTAAAGGTAGACTCAGCAAGATGACGTTGCCATGAGCAGCACCGCAAATATTGGGGGCGTTTCAGTGGTAAGGCTAAAGCAACCGACTGTAGACAAAAGTTGAGGAGTGAAGTCGGTGGCGGTGCATCTGCGACAGCCGAAAGTCGGACACTAATGTGGTTTTCCAACAGCTCAGATCAACATGGCAGTGTTGCCATTGTTTATAAAATGTTTTCTTTATAATGTCGAAATAAACATGTATCTAACCCCCTTATCACACACTCACAAACTGAAATATAATATAATAATGTGTGCGTACATTGTACAATCAATTAGTGAGAGAAAGCCTCAAATATCACATTTATGTGTATATATCCACTGTATACATAAATCGCAGCAAATTGGTTCCTGTTTCAGTCATGTCTTTGGTCACGTTAGCTTGGGTCAAACAAAAAAAACCTAATGATTGGTTGACAATAGAGCTTCCCACAATGAAGGCGATGGCTGCAGGATGAAGTTGGTGAAGGAGCAGAAACTTGCAGTTGACTGCAGTCAAGACTTCATGACCTTTGATCACATTTTTGTAAAGTTCATGCAGTTAACATGTAGGTGCAAGTCAGACAATTTTTATCCTCAGAATGCAACACACTTTGAAAGGCAGTGACCGACTTGACAAAAGTGATCCGCTCTAACACAGCCATTGAGATTTGCATGATGCAACGTGGTAGCTACGGGACCAAAACAGCGGAGAAGTTTAGCCTCGCTTCAACGCTCTTAGTTGTTGTGGAAATTTACCCACTACTACGGTTTACTTGGTGCATCTACAGTGCATTTGGAAAGTATTCAGACCCTTTGACTTTTTCCACATTTTGTTACGTTACAGCCTTATTCTAAAATTGATTTTTTTTTTTACGGATCCTCATCAATCTACACACAATACCCCATAATGACAAAGCAAAAACAGGTTTAGACATTTTAGCAAATATATTACAAATAAAAAACAGAAATACCTTATTTACATAAGTATTCAGACCCTTTGCTATGAGACTCGAAATTGAGCTCAGGTGCATCCTGTTTCCATTGATCATCCTTGAGATGTTTCTACAACTTGGAGTTCACCTGTGGTAAATTCAATTGATTGGACATGATTTGGAAAGGTCCCACACTTGACAATGAATGTCAGAGCAAAAACCAAGCCATGAGGTCGAAGGAATTGTCCGTAGAGCTCCGAGACAGGATTGTGTCGAGGCACAAGTCTGGGGAAGGGTACCAAAAAATGTCTGCAGCATTGAAGGTCCCCAAGAACACAGTGGCCTCCATCATTCTTAAATGGAAGAAGTTTGGAACCACCAAGACTCGTCCTAGAGCTGGCCACCCGGCCAAACTGAGCAACCAGGGGAGAAGGGCCTTGGTCAGGGAGGTGACCAAGAACCAGATGGTCACTCTGACAGAGCTCCAGAGATCCTTTGTGGAGATGGGAGAACTTTCCAGAAGGACAACCATCTCTGCAGCACTCCACCAATCAGGCCTTTATGGTAGAGTGGCCAGACGGAAGCCACTCCTCAGTAAAAGGCACATGTCAGCCTGCTTGGAGTTTGCCAAAAGGCACCTAAAGGACTGTCAGACCATAAGAAACAAGATTCTCTGGTCTGATGAAGCATGGTGGTGGCAGCATCATGCTGTGGGGATGTTTTTCAGCGGCAGGGACTGGGAATCTAGTCAGGTTTGAGGGGAAAGATGAACGGAGCAAAGTACAGAGAGAGATCCTTGATGAAAACCTGCTCCAGAGCGCTCAGGACCTCAGACTGGGGCGAAGGTTTACCTTCCAACAGGACAACGTCCCTAAGCACACAGCAATGACAACACAGGAGTGGCTTCGGGACAAGTCTCTGAATGTCCTTGAGTGGCCCAGCCAGAGCCCAGATTTGAACCCGATCGAACATCTCTGGAGAAACCTGAAAATAGCTGTGCAGCGACGCTCCCCATCCAACATGACAGAGCTTGAGAGGATCTGCAGAGAAGGATGGGAGAAACTCCCCAAATACAGGTGTGCCAAGCTTGTAGCATCCTACCCAAGAATACTCTAGGCTATAATCGCTGCCAAAGGTGCTTCAACAAAGTACTAAGTAAAGGGTCTGAATGCTTATGATATTTCAGTTTTTTTTTTTATGTAATACATTTGCAAAAAATTCACAAAAAAAACGGTTTTTGCTTTGTCTTTATGGGGTATTGTGTGTAGATTGCATAAGGCTGTAACGTAACAAAATGTGAAAAAAGTCAAGGGGTCTGAATATTTTCTGAATGCACTGTACGTCATCTCGCTGAGTCTACCTTAAACCTAACCTAACCTATGATCTGACCCATCACCATCATCATGTATTACTGGCCCATAGTGGCATAGGCTACTTTCTGTCCCTAACACTAAAACTAAAACTGAAAAATATAAAAACTAAATAATTATTTTCTTCATAAAACTTAAACTAAATTAAAGACAAGTGGATTTGAAAACTAACTGAAACTAAACTGAATTTCAAAAAAAAATCTTTAAACTAATATTAAACCCCAAAACTATAATAATAAATAATTGCATCACACACACACATTTTACTATACTTGTAAGTACCAGAAGTCCTCACAAGAATAGTAAACCAACTAAAATTCAGAGAAGTGAGAACATTTTGCCAGTCCTCACTTGTAAAAAGGCTATTTTAGTCTTAGGGGTTAGGTTTAGGGTTATAATTAGGGTTAGTGGTTAGGTTTAGGGTTAGTGGTTAGGGTTAGTGGTTAGGTTTAGGGGTTACGGTTGTTGGTCCCCAAAAAGTCCTCACAGGTATAGTAAGATATAGCTGTGTGCACTACTCCTGCATTCCCTGGCCCTCTCGCTGTGATTCAAAGGTCACACAGCTGGTCATTCCACCCACTCACACTCACAGATACACACACTCACAGTTGGTCCTGGAGCTCCAGTACGATGTATTCTAGTTGTTCCTTCTCCAGTGTGTGTGAGAGGTGTGTGTCTGTTAATCTCTGCTGAAGAGCTTTGTTCTGGGACATCGCTTGAGACAGCTGGGCCTCTCTCAGACGAACCATCTCTTCCAGATAACACTGGCACACCCACACACACACACAACAGTGAGTTGTTGCAGTATTACATTTTTTGCAGTAGCAAATCAGATAAACAAGGGAAGATCTTTATTTTGGTAAAGGAGGCACTATAGATTTGTACTCCGGTGAGGATGGAATGGATGATATCAAGCTGTGTGTGTGTGTGTGTGTGTGTTTCCATTTCCTCAGCAGAGCACTGACAGTTAGCCTGACATTTAGAAATCAAACTTTCCAATTATTCCTCACAGACACCTCACAGTCTCAGTGTCTCATGCACAAATGCACACATACACCTGCATCCTATAGTGCAATACAGTGTTCTGCCGCAACACGTACACTACACACACACTGAGACGTTACCTTCTGTTCCAGTGCCATGCGGTATTTCTGCTCTAGTCGTTTACACTTGCTGACCCAGCTGCTCTGCTCAGTGAAGATGGCCGCCGCAGTGCTGGCGGCCATCTTTTCAGGGGTGCTCTTCTCGCTGCCGCTGCTCCCCAGGGTCCTCAACTCCTCCTCATCACTGCTGATGCTGTCTGCACTACACAGGGGGAAAGGGCACATTTCAGAGGGTACTACAGAGGGGGTAGGAGTTCAATTCATAGGGCACGTACAGGGGGAAGGGTACATAATAGCAGGTAAAGGTTAAAGGACTAAAAGATTGAAGCCCACATACCTATGAATGAACTTCAGATAGGGCGTATAGTCAATCACCGCTGGGCAGCTTCCATTCAGCCCCTCCCCTTTCAGACAGAAGCTAACCACCAGAGGAAAATATACTTTTAATGAGTACTTTACTGTATAACCTGAGCTCTGACTCAGCAACACTATAATAACCAAATATAAATAATATACAGTATGATATATACGAGTACCTGAAGTCGATGGTGTTGAGACAGATGAGTGTATCTGCTAGCAGCCCCGCCTCCTCACCTAGCATGATGGCCCCATCCTCATACCATCTCCTACACACAACATAGAACACACACTCAATACACACACTAGTTCCATCCTCAGAACACTTCTAAACAACACACACACACACACTAACTCCATCCTCAGAGTAACTAAAACCAACACTCAACACAGATGTAGTTCGGTCTGGTGTTTTGTATTGATATTTTGTGTGTGTCTGTGTGCATCTCTGTGTGTGTGTCAGAGAGAAAGACCTGGTGGTTTTGAAGTCCCTCAAGGCGGAGGAGATGTACTCAGACAGCCTCTTCTCCATCAGCACCAGTCTGATCCACGCCCGGCCCTGTGGACACACACACACAGTTCTTAAGTTCCCATTATACATCAGAAGGCCTGCATAGTAGCTCTTTAAAACAGACATCATTATAATACAAATACATACTGCCCTTCCTACTTCGCCACAGTCAGCTGATTGAGTTTGTGCACCTGCACGCATGTGTGCTTGTGCCTGAGCTGTGGCATTCTCTTGCACAGCACTACAGTATTTATTGTTTAAAGCTTCTGAACAAAGCTGTCTTTTGTTCTGTGTGTAATTTCATCCAGCGGAAAAGGCTGAGAGAGTTGTGTGTGTGTGTCTTCGATCCGTGGGAATATTGATGTTATCATTAAGATCCATGGCTCAAGGCTTCTCTCACACACACACACACACACACACCTTAGCTCTGGAGGACCGTGCGTTCTCCATGCTCTCAATGCTGTGGATGCAGCTGTGAGAGACTTTACTGCAGGCTGCCTTCACATAGTCCCAGAAACTACGAGGACTCTCATAACCAAACCACATAGTCTGACCTGGGAGAAGGGAGACAGGGAGGGACAGAGAGAGAGAGAGAGACAGACAGAGAGAGAGAGAGAATAGGGGAGGGAGAGAGAGTACGGCACAGAGGGAGAGAAAGAGAGAGAGGGAGTAGAGAAGGGAGGGAGGGAGAGAGAGAGACAATGAGATTGCTACATTTATCGGTGGCATATTAACTTGTATACTTAGTAAGCCTGCAGTGGTCCAGATGGGAAGGGCTTTTAGCGTGTGTGTGTTACTATACCTTTGAGTCTGTGACTGAGGATCTGTTCCAGGATGGAGACGAAGTTGGTGAACTCTGGAGACGAGTCATCTATCGTCTCTAAACAGGAGCGGTCAATCAACGTCTTCACTGAAAACCTGCACACACAGAGAGAGAGAGAGTTTTCACTGAGTCTGCACTGGTTTCCAACAGGATCTGCGTGTTCCTCTCTGACATGCTGTTAAATGTGACTCTAGGGAGAGGAGATCATCTCTGACTGAACAGATGATTTAGAGGCTTTAGGAAACACTATCTCTCTACTGCACACTGGATCAGTGGAGCGTTGACAATATTGAAAAAAACATTGACAATACTTTTTTTCCCTTCAGATCTCCAAATAATCATTCCACAAACACGGTGTCATATAAGCATAGATAGATTACACGGAGGTCAGACTGTGGGGCATGACAACAACTATAGGGCTCCAGACCAGAGAGACTCTCTAATCAGTGTCTAGGTTATCAAGCACCGAGGAGAGTTAATGGAATGAAGCAAACACAGGAAATGACTCTGTGTCTGTGTGCGTGTGTTGATTCTGGAGTACAGGGATGCATCTCAATAGTCTTACATGGACTGATTTCCATGTTGGTGAGATGCAACAGTCATCTCTGTGCTGTGGGGCTTGTACTGCACAGACACACAGTAGCAGGTTAAGTGGCAGTGGGGTGACCGGGCAGGTTAAGTGGCAGTGGGGTGACTGGGCAGACGGAGCTTTATCTAAACAGGACAGACAATAAGGTTTTCAGTTTTTTCCATTATGTATACTCCTGACAGAGAGAGGAGGGGTAGAGAGGAGGAGTCAGAGAGAGGAGGGGGAGACAGAAAGAGGAGGAGACAGAGAGAGGAGGAGACAGAGAGAGGAGGGGGAGGGAGGAGGAGTCAGAGAGAGGAGGAGACAGAAAGAGGAAGAGACGGAGAGAGGAGGAGACAGAGAGAGTAATGTTTACTGTTAATATTTATAGTTTATTTCACTTTTGTTTACTATCTACTTCACTTGCTTTAGCAATGTTAACATACGTTTCCCATGCCAAAAAAGCCCTTAAATTGAAATTGAATTGAGAGGAGGGGGAGGGAGGAGGAGACGGAGAGAGTGAGAGAAAGAGAAACAGATAGTCTGTGAGAGAAAGAGAGAGAGAATAAACACACAGCATGAATCACCAGACGCTTTTAGTGGCCTACTCCTCCACTTCTAAGAACACACAGGTCTGATGAAGTGTAGACACAGCTGCTCAGAGCTCTCAGGATAACTTATTAAATGAGTGCCCGTTTACCCTGCGTACGAGTGAATCCTCATCATCAACAAAAAGTTCAGACCTAAAGCTGTTACTGTTGTCCTTATCCACACCTTACTGTCATTACTGTCTCCCTTTTACCACCCTCCTCCCCTGTCTCTTTCTGTCTCCTTCCATCTTAATATTTCTCTGGAACTCTATTTCCCCCATGCCCCTCTCTCTCTGTCTGTCTGTCTGAACATCAGTGATTAGAAATTACATTTCCCAGAGCATGTTAGATGACATTCAAAATGATTTGTCACATGCTTCGTAAAAAACAGATGTAGACGAACAGTGTAATGCTTACTGATGGGCCCTTCCCAACAATGCAGAGAGAACCAAATAAATAATAGAAAAATGATAACACGAGGAATAAATACACAATGAGTAACAATAACCTGGGCTGGCTAAATACACGGGGTACCAGTACCGAGTCCATGTGCAGGGGTGCGAGGTAATTGAGATACAGTGGGAAAAAAAAGTATTTAGTCAGCCACCAATTGTGCAAGTTCTCCCACTTAAAAAGATGAGAGAGGCCTGTAATTTTCATCATAGGTACACGTCAACTATGACAGACAAATTGAGGAAAAAATATCCTGAAAATCACATTGTAGGATTTTTTATGAATTTATTTGCAAATTATGGTGGAAAATAAGTATTTGGTCACCTACAAACAAGCAAGATTTCTGGCTCTCACAGACCTGTAACTTCTTCTTTAAGAGGCTCCTCTGTCCTCCACTCGTTACCTGTATTAATGGCACCTGTTTGAACTTGTTATCAGTATAAAAGACACCTGTCCACAACCTCAAACAGTCACACTCCAAAGTCCACTATGGCCAAGACCAAAGAGCTGTCAAAGGACACCAGAAAAACAATTGTAGACCAGCACCAGGCTGGGAAGACTGAATCTGCAATAGGTAAGCAGCTTGGTTTGAAGAAATCAACTGTGGGAGCAATTATTAGGAAATGGAAGACATACAAGACCACTGATAATCTCCCTCGATCTGGGGCTCCACGCAAGATCTCACCCCGTGGGGTCAAAATGAACACAAGAACGGTGAGCAAAAATCCCAGAACCACACGGGGGGACCTAGTGAATGACCTGCAGAGAGCTGGGACCAAAGTAACAAAGCCTACCATCAGTAACACACTACACTGTACCCTTGCTATTTACTCCATAATGGATGGTATTTTGTATAGATATATACGTATAGATTCACCTGCGTAATGTAAACACACATACAGTATGTGCACTGACAGGTAATGCCCTGTGTCACCGTTATGTTTACAATGTCATTATTCGCTAAACTGTGCCCCTATGTCCCAGTTATCTACAAACCATCATTAAGGTTGTGTGTGTCCAGATGTGTGTGTATTGACCAGCTGTATGTCTGTGTGTTTCAGCCATGCTATCTACTACTCTATAATAGGTGCGGTGGTGTTGGTAGCAGCCTACATGCAGGTGGCCTTCTGGACACTGGCGGCAGGCAGGCAGGTCAAGCGCCTCAGGAAGCTCTTCTTCCACTGCATCATGCAGCAGGAGATCGGCTGGTTCGACGTCAACGAGACGGGAGAACTCAACACACGCCTAACAGAGTGAGTAAACTACCTATAGGAATGGATTGGCTTTTATAGGGTGAGGGTGTTTTTTTTTTACATTGATACCGTCTGGATGTAGCTTTGGGGTTTATACAGCCCTGTTCAATCAAATATGGTGCGTGTGCACATGTGGGTGTGTGTGTGTGTATGTGTGTGTGTGTGTGTGTGTACAGTGGGGGAAAAAAGTATTTAGCCACCAATTGTGCAAGTTCTCCCACTTAAAAAGATGAGAGAGGCCTGTAATTTTCATCATAGGTACACGTCAACTATGACAGACAAATTGAGATTTTTTTTCCCCAGAAAATCACATTGTAGGATTTTTAATGAATTTATTTGCAAATTATGGTGGAAAATAAGTATTTGGTCACCTACAAACAAGCAAGATTTCTGGCTCTCACAGACCTGTAACTTCTTCTTTAAGAGGCTCCTCTGTCCTCCACTCCTTACCTGTATTAATGGCACCTGTTTGAACTTGTTATCAGTATAAAAGACACCTGTCCACAACCTCAAACAGTCACACTCCAAACTCCACAGCTTGGTTTGAAGAAATCAACTGTGGGAGCAATTATTAGGAAATGGAAGACATACAAAACCACTGATAAAATCCCTCGATCTGGGGCTTCACGCAAGATCTCACCCTGTGGGGTCAAAATGATCACAAGAACAGTGAGCAAAAATCCCAGAACCACACGGGGGGACCTAGTGAATGACCTGCAGAGAGCTGGGACCAAAGTAACAAAGCCTACCATCAGTAACACACTACGCCGCCAGGGACTCAAATCCTGCATTGCCAGACGTGTCCCCCTGCTTAAGCCAGTACATGTCCAGGCCCGTCTGAAGTTTGCTAGAGTGCATTTGGATGATCCAGAAGAGGATTGGGAGAATGTCATATGGTCAGATGAAATCAAAATAGAACTTTTTGGTAAAAACTCAACTCGTCGTGTTTGGAGGACAAAGAATGCTGAGTTGCATCCAAAGAACACCATACCTACTGTGAAGCATGGGCGTGGAAACATCATGCTTTGGGGCTGTTTTTCTGCAAAGGGACCAGGACGACTGATCCGTGTAAAGGAAAGAATGAATGGGGCCATGTATCGTGAGATTTTGAGTGAAAACCTCCTTCCATCAGCAAGGGCATTGAAGATTAAACGTGGCTGGGTCTTTCAGCATGACAATGATCCCAAACACACTGCCCGGGCAACGAAGGAGTGGCTTCGTAAGAAGCATTTCAAGGTCCTGGAGTGGCCTAGCCAGTCTCCAGATCTCAACCCCATAGAAAATCTTTGGAGGGAGTTGAAAGTCTGTGTTGCCCAGCGACAGCCCCAAAACATCACTGCTCTAGAGGAGATCTGCATGGAGGAATGGGCCAAAATACCAGCAACAGTGTGTGAAAACCTTGTGAAGACTTACAGAAAACGTTTGACCTGTGTCATTGCCAACAAAGGGTATATAACAAAGTATTGAGAAACTTTTGTTATTGACCAAATACTTATTTTCCACCATCATTTGCAAATAAATTCATTAAAAATCCTACAATGTGATTTTCTGGATTTTTTTCCCTCATTTTGTCTGTCATAGTTGACGTGTACCTATGATGAAAATTACAGGCCTCTCTCATCTTTTTAAGTGGGAGAACATGCACAATTGGTGGCTGACTAAATACTTTTTTCCCCCACTGTAGATATGTACATATAGGTAGGTATAAAGTGACTAGGCAACAGGCTAGATAACAGTATCAGCAGCGTAGTTAGTGCAAAAAGGGTCAATGCAGATAGTTAAATAGTTAACCAATAGCTACCCAGACTAACTATTTAGCAGTCTTATGGGTTGGGGGTAGAAGCTGTTCAAGGTTCTGATGGTTCCAGACTTGGTGCATCGGTACCGCTTGCCATGTGGTAGCAGAGAGAACAGTCTATGACTTGGGTGGCTGGAGTCTGACCATTTTTAGGGCCTTCCTCAGACACTACCTGGTATAGAGGTTCAGGATAATAATAATATAATATAATATGCCATTTAGCAGACGCTTTTATCCAAAGCGACTTACAGTCATGCGTGCATACATTTTTTTTGTGTATGGGTGGTCCCGGGGATCGAACCCACTACCTTGGCGTTACAAGCGCCGTGCTCTACCAGTTGAGCTACAGAGGACCACATGGATGGCAGGGAGCTCAGCCCCAGTGATAAACTGGGCCGTACGCACTACCCTCTGTAGCGCCTTCCGGTCAGACGCCAAGCAGTTACCATACCAAGCGGTGATGCAGCCAGTCAAGATGCTCTCAATGGTGCAGCTGTAGAGCTTTTTGAGGATCGGAGGGCCCATGCCGAATCTTTTCAGCCTCCTGAGGGGGAAGAGGCGTTGTCGTGCCTTCTTCACGACTGTGTTGGTGTGTGTGGACCATGATAATTCCTTAGTGATGAGGACACAGAGGAACTTCACAGCCTTGTCTGCATATTAAATCAATGAAACCAATGAACTGCATCTATTCATGTTCTGCAGCAGTGTTTGATTGGATATGAATGAATTCCACAGGATTTATATTTTCGTTATTCAGATCATTGGTTTTTCTGCTTAGGCAGACTCGGTCCTGATGACTCATAGCGATTATTAAGACTAGAGCAGTTGCTCACTATAAACTAAAGTATATTGAACCCAAGTGCTCTGCATACCTCAACTAAGATTTTGAGAGCTTGGGACTATAAGGTTCTATCTGCAAAATTATGATTCTGAGATAATTGGCTTTAAAGTTCAGAATCCTCATTTGTTTGAATGGTGTCAGTGATTTTTATCTTGTATTCTTTTGCACTTAACACGAATTGGGGGTATTTAGAGTACTATATTGGTAGAGAACATTGAACAGAACAAGGCTATGTCAAAAACTCAATTTGGACAAAAATGCAGATAGAACCTTATAGTCCCAAGCTCTCGATTTAGCTCACTGAGATAAAGCCTAGGCATTAGCTTAGTGAGCTAACATGAGTCTTCGGGAATCAGGCAAGGTTACTCATCACGTGAGCATTGTTCACCAAACCAACTAAATTATATCACAAGAACTGCACATGAAACCTTTTAGAACAGTGAAATTCCTGGATAAAACACTGACAATGATGTTGTGAAAAGCCACTCCAGAAAGGGATAACTCTGCTGTTGTTGTGGGTTCCTCACCAGCCCTGGGGACATGTGAGTACAATGCCCACTCCCTGCTTTCTGATACCAGAGATCTTTAATGTTGATACACCCGTGACCATGTGTGGGAGAAGCAAAAAGTGGGCTGAAGTATCTACTGATTGAGTGGGAGTATGTAGCATATATCTACAACATAGACTAGGTATAGGAGATAGACCATCTATCTCTTCACTAGAACCACAGGGGGCATAAGGCTGGATCTGATGTTGCCTCACACTTGATAGGGTGTTCAACAGCATGATGTCATCCACAGAGAATGACATCACTACAGCTATCTAAAACACACACACTTGCACATGTGTGAAATAGGACAAATATAAGCACCCACCAAACTATTATTATTATTTATACTGTTCGAAGAGCATGAGACTTCAGATGAATAATTTAGGAGAATCCTCACACATTGCTCTGTTCCGTGCCAATTCATACCTGTGTGTTGAATTGTCTTCGTTCATGTGAAATCTATAGACTATACTGGTATTGAGTAGGCAGCTAATTAATGAAGGAAACTGTGATTCCATGAATGATTAATTAAGGCTCATAGGTGGCGGTAGTGTGTGTGTGACCATTGGAGACCCCTCAGAACTAGTGCGGCGTCATAGGCTACAGTTCATCTCGATACAACAACATCATCAATACTGTAATGTAAACGCGATGTAACTGAAGCGAGACAAAGGAAGCTCGGTTATGTGCGCTGTTTAGAAATATAGCCTATACCACCAATTAGCCTACCTTCTTCAACAGCGTCCACACACATTCACACCAGTCGCGTAAGAATGCGGACATTTATTTAAATTAACACAATCAAGCCAAGCATTATTTTACCTGCAGACAGTCAGTAGATTCCTCCTCTCCACAGCTCCGCTTCTGGCAGCGCCCCGTTTGCGAGCTACATGCAGCCCCAGGCTGAGTGACGCCATCCTCGCTACAGTTAGTCGTGTCTCCCCGGTGTACGTGCGCAGTATTTACTGTCCCTGTTTCTTTTCTGTCCGCAGGTTGGGTTCTACAGTGCACGCCGCCGCCCGCGGGCTCCTATCCGCGTCACACCGGCACGCTCTCTCGTTTGTTGACAGTCAACGTATAGGGAAGGAGGGAGGTGGATGGATGAACATGAATCATCCGGTAATTTTTGAGAGAGAGTCACGGGATTGTGCTAAAACGTCCAAACCAAGTGCCGGGGAGTCTGAGCGGCTTTAGTCCCTATTTAGAGCGAATTAGGCTACGGATTGGTAACTTCATGGTTTTGGGGGACGAAAATAAGACTTTATATGGATGCATCTCAATAGTCTAAAAAATGACTTTATTATCTCCTACATCTGCACTGATCTGATAGGTTTAATGAAAATGTTTCAGACCAAAAATAACCTGGTCCCAGATCGGTTTGTGCTCATGTCAACTCCAGTGCTGTCATTGTCAAGCCAACATTTGGCATGACAATTCCATAAGGAGTTATGCCATTTAGCATCTAGAGTTGGCAAGAGAGCTGAAACACTGGCACTCAGGCTAGCTGAAACAAGATAGTTATTTTAGGCTTTGGCTACTTCCTGTGCAGGCCCAGTAGCCTATTATTTCATAGAGAATGAAAGAGGCCTCTAGTAGCCAAAAGGCTATGTCAGCATGGGCAGCGCCATTAAGGGCTTCCACCATTTTAATGTAGTCAACTTGGTGGGACTTCCAACTTCAAGACTGTGGACAGCGGCCGTCTCTAGGTGAAGCTGCAGCACTGGGAGAATCACTTGAAGAATAGTCATAGAGATAGATTGAGGACTCATCTTTGTATCTGTGCCATTATAATGTATTTGACAGCATGGGCAGCACCATTGATGCTATCCCCATATTGAAGTAGTCAATTTTCTTCTTCACAATTGTCTGATCCCTCCTGATGACCCGGTTGGACATGACTCATGGGGCGGCAGGTAGCTTAGTGGTTAAGAGCGTTGTGCCAGTAACCGAGAGGTCGCTGGTTCTAATCCCCGAGCCGACTAGGTGAAAAATCTGTCGATGTGCCCTTGAGCAAGGCACTTAACCCTAATTGCTCCTGTAAGTGGCTCTGGATAAGAGCGTCTGCTAAATGACTAAAATGTAAATGACTCCAACAGGATCACCAGGAGGGATCAGCCAATCGTGAAGAAAATGGACTACTTTAAAATGGAGATAGCCTCAATGGCGCTGCCCATGCTGTGTATGTACAGTAATTTGACTAGGTGACATGGTGCTGCTACAATAAACAGAAAGGAAAGAACAGGTTTATATCTTAACATTTTAGTCATTTGGCAGACGCTCTTATCCAGAGCGCCTTACAGTTAGTGAGTGCATACATTTTTGTCCTACTGGCTGCCCGTGGGAATAAAACCCACAACCCTGGCGTTGCAAGTGCCATGCTCTACCAACTGAGCTACAGAGGAGGCCCATTGAATCAGGCCACATTGAAACGTGTTATAACTGTGTTCTGTGTTATGGTATGATACAATAGCGTGGCAGGTAGCCTAGTGGTTAGAGCTTTGGGCCAGTAACTGAAAGGTTGCTGGTTCAAATACCTGAGCTGACAAGGTGAAAATCTGTTGATGTGCCCTTGAGCAAGGCAGTTAACCCTAATTTGTTCCAGGGGAGCTGTACTACTAAGGCTGACCCATGTGAGAATACAATATATGTACAGTATATACAAAAATGATAATGTCTGTTTGCAGGTAGATGGGGACCCCCAGTGGCCATGGAGGCGACAGCCCTGTTCTAATACCTGCATCCTTCCTCCCTTCCATCAATTGCCCTAGACACTGATCTGACACAAGCTCGGTGGGAATAGTCAGTATGGTGTTTATAGCAGAGAGCCATAGGGTCATTTGGTGAGTTTAAGGCACATGTGTCAAACTTATTCCATGGAGGGCTGAGTGTCTGTGGGTTTTCACTCCTTTGTACTTGATTTATGAATTAAAGTCAGTAATTAGTAAGGAACTCACCTTACCTGGTTGTCTAGGTCTTAATTGAAAGGAAAAACCAAAAACCAGCAGACGCTAGGCCTTCAATGGAATGAGCTTGACACCCCCAGGTTTAAGTGTATTAATGGATATTGAATAAAGTGTTTTTTGGCTACTGATGAAGTGCAACAGACTACTTAACTAGCCCAAGACAACAACTCTACTGAGACAGACCAATCAAAACAGTTTTGATGTGTTTTGTGTTGTAACTTTTTTCTTGGAGGAAACAAGATGACTCATTTTAGGGGTTTAACTATTTTCTAACTAAACGAGAGGTGCCCCTACTGCAGGGGTAGGCAACTAGATTCAGCCGCGGGCCGATTTTTTTCCAGAGTGGATGGTCAGGGGGCCGGAACATAATTATAATATTTTGTAAACTGCAAATTGACCACAACTAAGCCCAAAAATAGATAGTATTTGTAAATAACAATAATTTAATACCTTGATTACATTGAGACACGATCACGTCTCTTTTTATTCATGGAAATACTAGGTGAACAGATTACCTAAATCAAACTAATTTTGAGCTGGATTCCAGGTGATTTATGTATATTTTTTTCTCCAAAACTAAAATCCCCCCCCAAAATAATGTACAGTATATATTATGTAATTTCTTTGCTAAAAACCTTTGGGGGCCAAAAAAAAATCACTTGCGGGCTAGTTTTGCCATTTTTTTCTCACACAGTGGGTTGCTCTCTCAAAATAGATTTTTAACCTCAACAGTATTTTCTGGTTGAATAAAGGTTAAACAGTCTGTACCAATCAGAATCTCTGATCCTGTTCTTCTTCCCCTGTTCCTCAGAACTGGTTGTAACTGGTTTGAGCCTGAGAAGAACACTGAAGACTAGAATACAGATTTGTGCTCCATTCCTCAGCTTCTGTCTCTGACCTCCTGTCTGTGTAGTCACTCACTCTGTGATTGACATCAGAACAAGAGAGTAGGAGCTGATCTCTCTTCCTGAGTGTCAGAAAGTAAGTAAAATGGCATACCTCAACCTATTGAACTACCACAATAACAGTTGAAGGAGCTTCAGTGAATGATTCATATATATATATAGAAGATTGTACAAATCAAATTGTATTTGTCACATGGGCCGACTACAACAGGTGTAGACTTTACCGTGAAATGCTTACGAGCCCTTTCCCAACAATGCAGAGTTAAAAAGTAAGAAAAATGTTATTTTGTCTTTGGGATGATTGGTGTCTGACGTTTTGATAGGGAGGATTTTGAACCCACTTTTGTGACACACAACCTCGAACTGTCTCTAGATTGACTGAACAAACCAAGATACACATCCTATAGTAAGACATCAACAACAAGGAAGTTAACCTATCCTAACATGCTTTTTGTCTTAAGACCTTTTAACTAATCTTACTCCAGTGCCTGTATGTTGTTTTTAGGTCAATCCTTCATTAACCAGTGACATCACTTTACGTCATCCACTTCTACTGAGTCAGAGTGTGATGAAAACCCAGGAAATGATGTCACAGTATGACATCCCTTTTTTAAATGAGGATCTTGTCAATGAGTGACACTTCATGGTTCAACGTGAGAACACAGTGGTAGTTGATTATATGACATAAATAACCCAAGAGACTAAAACCTCTGGATTTACCTACAGGTTTAACCTCATGGTAAACATGTGCTTCATAACATCAACAATAAAACAAAGAAGTGATAGAATAAGGAGAGCTTATTATGATCGCTGAGCTTATAAACTGTGTGTGCGTGCGTGCGTGCGTGCGTGTGTGTGTGTGTGTGTGTGTGCGCGTGCGTAGAGAAGCTGCTGACTAACTGTACTTTTGGCCCACACACTGGTGTGTGTTTTATGGAGTGTTGTATAACAGAGTAATTTGTTATCTGAATTGGTCTTTGACATGCACATGCTCAGGGACAATAACGCGCACCTGTCCCTTTTATCCCTTTTAACCAGCCCAACACCAGGGAAAATGTCTACTGTCACTTCACTGTGTACTGACATTATCTAGCAGTCCGACCATAAATTGAGGAACTTAATGTGAGAAATATTCAGCCACTCTTGGAGGACAATGGAGATTGGAAGCTCAGTAGAGAAATGTTTTCTGGTTTAGTTTGTCATTGAGAGATGAGAAGTGAGAGTTAGATTTTTTTAAATGACTCCATTGTCCTTCAATGGTTGAATATTTTGTCCGATGTCCAGTCATTCCAGTTTGATCAATGGCCAAGGAAGGCCAGAGAGATTCTGAGAGGAAGTTAATGGTTTTATCAAGAAGAGCAACTCACTGGCCACCATACTGTCTGTGGGTATGTTAACCCTCTACCAATTACTGATGATGACAATGATTAACACATGTAGAGAGGTAAATGACTGTGTGGGAGTCTTTCCCTTTACAAAGCTACACAAGCCACCAGGACTCATTAGAACAGAGTGAACAAGACAAAGCACTACATCAGTCTGGAGGAAAAATAAAATCATCAATGTTCATTTATAGTTGAATTAACAAGTTGAGAAAACACATCATTTTAAATTGACTGAATTTTTGCCAACGTTTTCTCAAGTTGGAGCTAAGTTTGGGCCACAATTTATTTTTATTTGTTCAGGTAACACTTAGCCCCAAAAGTTGAGTAAACAAAAAAAAGGCTGCGGAACCAGTTACTTAATAATAATCAGTTGAAACAAATGATTTGTGTTGGTTTTTTATTTTGTATTTTTTTTACAGTGTGGGTTGTCAATGTAGTTAATAACATTAACTGTTTGGGCCTAAAACAGAACAATTAGAAGAAGGGATAAGGGGCATTAGAGTGTGACAGTCACTCAAACATTTACTATAGGCTAGGCCTAGATCATTTATAGTCATTGTTTACACTGTGTTCATCAATAGATCAAACAGTCAATAAGATGTTCATTTTGCTAAACTGGTAGGCAATCCATTATTTATACGAGATTGGAAATAGGCTATATGGATGCCCACTTTGGTTCATGAGGTTGTGAGATTGAAAAATAGCGGTGGTGGTCTCTCGAATAGCTGCAACATGAGACCGCCATGTTCTGTATCTAATGTAATAACA